TTCTACTGATGATGGCCACCCGTACCTACAGCTAGCTTCTACTGATGATGGCCACCGTACTACAGCTAACTTCTACTGATGATGGCCACCATCCCTACTGCTAACTTCTGCAGTGATGGCCACCGTCCTACAGCTAACTTCTGCTGATGATGACCACCGTCCTACGGTTAACTTCTGCGATGATGACCACCGTCCCTACTGCTAACTTCTACTGATGACCACCGTCCTACAGTTGCTTCTACTGATGATGACCACCGTCCTACAGTTGCTTCTGCTGATGATGGCCACTGTGTCTACAGTTGCTTCTACTGATGATGACCACTGTCCTACAGCCAACTTCTACTGATGATGACCACCGTCCCTACAGTTAACTACACTGATGATGACCACCGTCCCTACAGTTAACTTCTACTGATGATGGCCACTGTCCTACAGTTAACTTCTACTGATGATGACCACTGTCCCTACAGCTAGCTTACTGATATTGACCACTGTCCTACAGTTAACTTCTACTGATGATGGCCACTGTCCTACAGTTAACTTCTACTGATGATGACCACTGTCCTACAGCTAACTTCTACTGATGTTATTACCATCCCTACAGTTAACTTCTACTGATGATGTACTGTCCTACAGTTAACTACACTATTGATGACCACTGTCCCTACAGCTAACTTCAACTGATGATGACCACGCGTCCTACAGTTAGCTTCTACTGATGATGGCCACTGTCCTACGGATTAGCTTCTACTGATGATGACCACTGTCCTGGCTAACTTCTACTGATGATGACCACTGTCCCTACAGTTGCTTCTACTGATGACCACTGTCCTACAGTTAACTTCTACTGATGATATTACTGTCCTACGGTTAACTTCCACTGATGATACCACTGTCCCTACAGCTAGCTTCTACTGATACCATCCTACAGTTAACTTCTGCTGATGATGTACTGTCCACAGTTAACTTCCACTGATGTTGACCGCAGCCTACAGCTAGCTTCTACTGATGATGGCCACCATCCTACAGTTAACTTCTACTGATGATGGCCTGTCCACAGCTAACTTCTACTGATGATGACCGCGTCCCTACAGCTAACTTCTACTGATGATGACCACCGTCCTACAGTTAACTTCTACTGATGATGACCACTGTCCTACAGTTAACTTCTACTGATGATGATCACCGTCCTGGCTAACTTCTACTGATGATGACCACTGTCTACGGTCCAACTTCTACTGATGATGACACTGTCTACAGCTAACTTCTACTGATGATGACACCATCCTACTGCTAACTTCTACTGATGATGGCCACCGTCCCTACAGCTAACTTCTACTGATGATGACCACCGTCCTACAGTTAACTTCTACTGATGATGTTTCCGTCCTACTGCTTCTACTGATGATGGCCACCGTCCTACAGCTAGCTTCTACTGATGATGACCACCAGATACACAGTTAACTTCTACTGATGATGACCACGAGTCTACCTTTAACTTCTACTGATGATGACCACCGTCCCTACAGTTGCTTCTACTGATGATGACCACCGTCCCCACGGTTAACTTCTGCTGATGATGGCCACTGTCCTACAGTTAACTTCTACTGATGATGACCACTGTCCCTACAGCTAACTTCTACTGACTGATATTGACCACCGTCCCTACAGTTAACTTCTACTGATGATGACCACCGTCCTACAGTTAACTTCTACTGATGATGGCCTGTCCTACAGTTAACTTCTACTGATGATGACCACTGTCCTACAGCTAACTTCTACTGATGATGACCACTGTCCTACAGTTAACCTACTGATGATGGCCACTGTCTACAGTTAACTTCTACTGATGATGACCACTGTCCTACAGCTAACTTCTACTGATGATGGCCACCATCCTACAGTTAACTTCTACTGATGATGGCCACTGTCCTACAGTTAACCTTCTACTGATGATGACCACTGTCCTACAGCTAACTTCTACTGATATTGACCACCGTCCTACAGTTAACTTCTACTGATGATGGCCCACTGTCTACAGTTAACTTCTACTGATGATGACCACTGTCCTACAGCTAACTTCTGCTGATGATGACCACTGTCCTACAGTTAACTTCTGCTGATGATGGCCACTGTCCTACAGTTAGCACCACTGATGATGACCACCATCCTACAGTTAGCTTCTACTGATATTGACCACCGTCCTACAGTTAACTTCTGATGATAGCAATACACCATCTACAGTTAACTTCTACTGATGACCACCGTCCCAGTTAACTTCTACTGATGATGACCACCGTCCTACAGTTAACTTCTACTGATGATGGCCACCATCCCTACAGTTAACTTCTACTGATGATGACCACCGTCCCTACAGTTAACTTCTACTGATGATGACCACCGTCCACTACAGTTAACTTCTACTGATGATGACCACCATCCCTACAGTTAACTTCTACTGATGATGACCACCGTCCTACAGTTAACTTCTGCTGATGACCACTGTCCTACAGTTAACTACTACTGATATTTCATCTACAGTTAACTTCTACTGATGATGACCACGCGTCTACAGTTAACTTCTACTGATGATGACCACCGTCCTACAGTTAACTTCTACTGATGATGGCCACCGTACCTACAGCTAACTTCTACTGATGATGGCCACCGTACCTACAGCTAACTTCTACTGATGATGGCCACCATCCCTACAATGAACTTCTACTGATGATGGCCACTGTCCCTACAGTTAACTTCCACTGATGATTGCCACCGTACCTGCAGCTAACTTCTACTGTTAAGGGTTAATCACTGTTTTATCAATACTAATCAGTTTTTCCTTGAGCACACTTTCTCACCTGCTACGTGGACTTTGAGGCTCCAGGTCCAAGGCTGTTGAATTGACAGATGACATTTCAACATGGACACTCGAGTAGTTCAACGGGCGAGTTAATGGCATAAACTTCAGAAGAAGGGGTGAATATGGCCTCAAGAAAATCTTCAAATATAAAATAGAACGTTCAACTTACAAACTTTCAGAGATACAAACATCATCACTGAGGGGGGTTACCTGCCAGAACAGGTGTTTAATGTGGATGAGACTGGATTATTTTGAAGAAAATTCCAGATAGAACAAACATTACCTAAGAGGAGAAGAGTGAGCCAGGTTTTAAGGCTGTATTAAAGGGTATAGCTGTACTAAATATCCATAATCTTTTCATTTTTACAATATGTTTGGTATCTACAAGAGTAGTTGGACTTACAAACAAGCCTCAGAAACGTAACTCGTTTGTAAGTAGAGACACATGTATATAAATATAAATACATAAATATATATATATATATATATATATATATATATATATATATATATATATATATATATATATATATATATATATATATATATATATATATATATATATATATATATATATATATATATATATATATATATATATATATATATATATATATATATATATATATATATATATATATATATATATATATATATATATATATATATAAATATTATTATAAAAATATATATATATATATATATATATATATATATAATATAAATATATATAAAGCTTGCAGAGTTATCATGCAGAACGAACAGTCTACCAGCCGAAGCTGTGGAATCAAGAACAGTATTGGGTTTCAATATAGCCCTTGACAAAATTATCATGAACAATGAAGGGATCCTACACAGGCCTCCTTCCCTCAGCATGGCCACCTCTAGTCTGTAGCCATGGGATAAAATAAGGTAAATACATCACAGGACTACATAGGATTGGTCTGCCTTGAGAGTTGCTCTATGTTGATTACTTAATGCTGATAGCAGATAGTATTGAAGAAGCTGTGGGCAATTTAAAATGGAATAGAGGCAAAGGGCCTGAGAGTGAATGTGGTAAAAACAAAAGTATTGATTAGTGGTGTGGGTGAGGGACCCAAAATGGATAGTGGAAAATGGCCATGTGTTGTCTGCAAGAAAGGTGTAGACAGCAACTCAATAATGAGCAATGAGCGTGGAAGGTGAGCAAACAACAGGTGCAGTGGAGTAGATGGCAGACTATGGGATGTCAAGGGAGGGTCCAGGGGGAGATCCTGGTGGTCCAACACCCCCACCCTTTCCCCTTTCATCAGAAAATTCCAATACATTTTCTTCAGTGCAGTATTCTACTCTGGCATTTTTGTATAGCACAGGTAGTAAAAAAATAATTACTATTGACCAGAGAATATCGCCTCAAAATGCCCATGATATTGGTCAGATTTCAATACAATTTCAGGGTGTGTGTGTGCTAATAGCCCCCCCACCCACACACACACACACACACAAAAATAAATAAATAAATAAATAAAAATAAAAATCGATGGGCCTGTTGTGCTCGCCATGTTCCCCCACCCACAACTTCCTGGATCCGCCCCCAGGATGTTGCTGACTTTAAGAGTTCTTTAAGTGTGGAGAAACTTTACATTGGGGATATGACCTTGGACTGTGTGGATGAGTTTTATTACCTGGGTGACATGAACAGTGCCAGTGGGGTCCTGAAATCTGCTCAGTTGCAAGAGTCAGACTTGGCCGAAGGATATATATGGAGTTGCTGCCTTGATTGATGCACGAGGACCTTCCATCCAAGTCAAAGGAAAAATGTATATGGCTGGTGTGAGAAGTGTGATGTTGTGTGGCAATGAAACACGGGCAGTTAAAGAGGATGACATAAGTAGACTTGAGTGGGGTGATATGAAAATGGTGAAGTGGTTGTGCAAAGTGACAGCAAAAGACAGAAGGCCCTTTTCAGAGTTATGAGGGCAGCTCGATACTGAGAGTATTGGCGAAGTCCGGTGAAGAGGCAGGTCAAGATGGTTTGGGAATGTGGAGGGTAGGAGAGCCAGGGGCAGGTCAAGAATAAAAAAGAGAGGTTGTAAGAAATGGTATTAGTATACTTGAGGGAATGGATCTCACTTATGAACAAAAGCAGCAGTAAGCTTACCTTTTCTTCCTTCCCTTCAAAGACTGAAGATTTACTATCACAGTTGAGGGAGAGCGATGAGACAGCCGATGTAAGAGTGCATGCATTGCTTGTAGAAATGTCCTGTAAATGGCTGCTATATATTGCTCGTAACCCACGATTTTGCTGAAAAAGATGACTTATTATTTTTAAGGGAATTAAAATTATTTTATTGCAGAAAATCCTTAACTCCTTTTCAGAAAAGTGAATCAAATTTTTCCACTGCTATTTTTTACTTGGTCGGTTAACTAAATGTTAGCACAATTGGTCTATTCTTTCTTACTTTGTTGTGACCTTCATTGATCAGCAGGAAACCGGAGTACCCGGAGAAAACCCGTCACAATTGGAAATGTCACACTGGATAACACCTTCTCACATATGTCCTGTCCAGAGATTGAACCCAGGACACAAAAATGAGATACTGTACTAGTGTTACTACTTTTTTTTTTATACTTTTATCCACAACACTACTGATCGGCTCGTTAGCTGCTTGGGTGATCGGTCACGTCTCTGTTATGCACTGTTGCAAGTACTTGCTTGTGACCCTGAATTTATCGAAGAAGAATTGCAACACATTCAGTCCATTACACAAAAACTTGGGAACCCTTCATTGTTTGTTGATCGTTGATTTTAAAAAAGCTAAACAATCCTTTTATTCTACTCAAATTAGGCAAGTTCCTACAATTAAGAATATTTTGACTACCTTATTGCAATGAATTTGTCCCGTCAGTTCAGTCCCTTAAATTATTGAACATTAATGTTGTTTTTAAGTATGACTCAACTATTACTAATATATTAATTAAAAACAGCCCAACCTTGAATGTAAATGTAAGTGTTTACTGTATTCTATGTAGCAATTGTAATGGAAATTATGTAGGTCAGACTGGGAAAGCATTGCAACTCAGAATTAAACAGCACAAAGTACAATATTAGAATGGCATCTGAAAGCAGTGCACTGTTCGTTCATATAAGGAACAACAATCATCCCATGGAATGGGAAAACAGTTTAGAAGTGTATAGGTGATCTAATTGAGGTGTATAAGCATCTCAGGGGGCACTACTCAGTCGAGTGTCCTTTCTTGGAGCTGGCGGACGCTTGCCCCACAAGGGGTCACAGCTCAAGATTGAAGAAGCCGCAAGTCCAGAAAACTGTGAAGACAAACTTTTTCGGAGTGAGAGTTGTGAACTCTTGGAACAATCTACCAGAAAGTGTTGTGACAGCACCGAGTGTGAGCTCTCAAGACAAGACTTGACCAACACTGGAGCAGGTTCAGGTACATTCAGGAGCCGGTGCATGCCCAGTACTTGCCAACAGTGCGTGACAGAGATGTGACCGATCGCCCAAGCGGCTAACGAGCCGATCAGTGTTGAAGAGGATAAAATTAAAGAAATAGAAATCATGTGTCACAGAAAGACTTCTAGTTCAAGCAAGTTTGATTAGAGAAATGTATTCTTTAAACCTTAGTGATGGTCAGTACAAAACTGATGTTACACAAATTTATTTGTCAGTGGCCCACGGTTAAAAATGCTTTGAATGCATGTAAGGTAGATGTATGATAGATGATTAGTGGGTCTCATTTTTTTACCTGACATGACATGAATAGTTATGTCACCCGTTCATATAATCTCTTTTTATTTTGCTATGTGGTTGGTGTGTGGTTGAGTGGATGTCATATTTTTTTACCTGACCTCATGTTTTGTAAGGTCACCCTGTGTACATAAGCTCTCTCTCAATCTTTGTAATTCAGTTGTCTCTGAAGATGTCTTGAATAAAGAAGAAAGCTAAGGTTCTCCATTGTTTCCCTTTCCCCTGTGTAATTATATGTGTGTGTGTGGACATTTTCTCTTGATTCCAGCCACAGTGTATCAAAGTATTAAGAAAGGAAAAGGCCAGACAGGGTTAAAATATATACTGTACTGCTTATGCCGACCTTTGACAGGTAGGATTCATCAGCACAGACTGCATAACCCTTTGAAATCAGTTCATCACTGAGGGATATCTCCTTTCCCTCGTGCTTCTTCAGCACCTTCACCCTCAAGACCCCGTGCACAATACTGTAAATCTGCAAAACATATCAATAAATTCTTTTAAGTATACTGTAAATGTCATCTTGAATGGTGCTTCATATACAGCATTCAAGAGAAAGAAATTAATGAAAAACTATTATTATATTTTTGGCATATATTATCTTACTTATCAACAATCCATGACAGTGTCATGATACCTCATTAGTTTAACCCCACACAACTAACCCTACAGAACCAAATAACCCAGTCTAACCCAACCTAATCAACCACAGAATTCAATACCTTTCTTTCTATAACACACCATATAAACCTCTATAGTTACTGAGGTAACCAAATATGTGACTGGAGAGCTATACACTACAGTACTCACATAGTAATTCAACAACATTCAGCATTCAATACCAACAATCCATTTTAAGGTATCCTTTTCAAGAAACCGTGGTTATGATTGGAAGGCAGGGTTTGAGGTGAACCAGAACAAACAGGTAAGCTGCACCAATTGTTAATGCTTTTAATCAAATCATTCTTGTTGCTAAATATTTAGGTGAATAAATTCTGGTTGACATTACTTCTCCAATTTTCAAGTCTTTAAAATTAGGTAATTTTGTGCAGTCTACATAAATATGTTCAATGATGATGTCACCACAAGGCACAAGGGGACTCTAATAGTTGCCATGAAATAAATATAAATACTAAACTAAAATTATTTAATTATCTCTTTCAACATGTGAACCAGGAGTTGGCTTTGGCGAGTGTTATTCTATAATACCATTTTAAACCTCAAGCTCCCCTTGGAAATATTGACACTATACGTTAATGTTGTTTAAACAATTAAAACAAGACTTGTAAAAAAGTACAGTATGGCAGAAAAATCACACACAGAAAACATTAGAAAATATAAAAACTATTTTGTCAGCATTGCATGGACGGCAGAGTGCAGTACTGTACGATGACTTGGCTGAGGCAGTGACAGCTATATGCTACTACAGACCTTAATTTACCATGATGTTTCAAGGGGGCAAACCTTTTAGTTTTGTTACACTTACCATGTAATTTAAAACAAATGTATAAAAAAAATAAATAATTCTTACATATCGTTACAGTACCTACATAGTGATAAGCTAAGAGGAATGCCAACAATATGTTTTAAGCATTTTATATGTTCTTAAGCCTGTGACTCGCAGCACAGTATGGGAGTAATATGGTTATCATGATAAGGCATCATATAACTTAAAAAAATAAATAAAAAAATACAATAAATAATTAAATAAAATCCTTCTGTGAAGTACCAATACAAACACAAGCTATTTTTGTCATGGAACTACTGTTCACAATTTGGATATCAAATGATTCAAATTCAAGCTTTGCACTTGTTAAGTTTTTACAAGTCAAGACCTGGTGGAAGGTGTACCTGAGCTTTTAACCCTTAGACCCCAGGTAATGTTCCAGAACTTCTGCCTATTTTCCCGTGTGATTTTATCAAGATTTATCTTATCCACGTTTTCATTGTGGATTTATGATATATATATATATATATATATATATATATATATATATATATATATATATATATATATATATATATATATATATATATATATATATATATATATATATATATATATATATATATATATATATATATATATATATATATAGATAACTACAGGAAGAAGAAAACACGAAGTTCCTAAGTAATTCACATCAGTATATATATTTTGGAAATGATTTTTTTTTTTCGATTTAACCCAGCATGGAGGGTACTGCCAGCAGCACCCTAACCCAGGGCTTAAGGGTTAATCAGATTCTATGGCTACTATTATAAAGGGTTAGTATTGGTGTAAAAAAAAAACCCTAAAGTTTGCAGGCTCACTAAAATACAATATGTCTCGCATGACAGCCATCAGTATGTCTCACATTATAGCCATAGAGACAAGGAGGAGTATCTGAGACCTTATTTGGTGATATCCCAAATCCTGCTATTAGAGATTTTATGTTTACAATTTCTTGAGTTATGGAGGGACACACACATCCTCACAGAACTACATCTAGCAGACAAAATAAGCTTCTTCAAAATATCTTATTACTCCACAACTGATGGAAAGTAAAGAAAAAGTAAAAGCCAACACAAACCTCTAAAAGACAGTACTGATTTTCAATTTGGATCTGAACCCAATTAGTCACTTCTTCTCCCCAAGCTTCACCATATTTCGGGGCCGGCTTTAGTTCTGCCAGCATACATTCCATTGCCTTCATGTTCACATCCGTTAAGCTGTGGGTTTAAAAAAAAAAACTAATACAAAAATCTATTGATACAAATGCAATGTACTGTATGTATATACACATTTTTTAAGCTCTAGGATACACAAAGGAGGCAGAGAGTAAATTCTGTACTAATTATACCTCATAAGATGGTACAGTAAAATGTTTCTATTTAATTAGATGAAAATATATGAGAACAATGATCTGGAAAAAGGATAAATGTAACAGACCTGTGTGAAGTGTTGGAAGTGATCCACAAACTATACTTCAAAGAGAATATCTTGTATACCTCGGTGTGAGCTTAATACACCTCGTTACCCCATGTGACGAATAACCAAGAACAGTGCAATGATCAGAGAATATTATGTGTTCAACGATTGCAACGTGCGATGGGAGGATCCCTAAATCTCTTTTTGTAGAAACTCTGAGAGATAATTTTCTGTTCCAACATGTTAGAGACCCGACACATTACAGAGGGGAGCAAACACCCAAGCCACTAGACCTCATCATAACATCGAGGAGGGTATGGTGGCCAAACTGGAACACCTTGCCCCAGTTGGCACCAGTCACCGTATACCTACAGTGTTGTCATTCAGATTTAACTGTTACTTAGTTCAAGATAAGACCAGGCCAAGATGCAAATATTACAGGGGAAATTACAACGAGATGAGGAAAGAGATGAGTGGTATCCACTGGCCTGATTCATTAAGGCACAAGAACGCAGACACTATGCTGAATATCATAACTAGTAAAGTGACCCATTTGATCGATAAATATATACCCAAGACCAAATCCAGTGCCTCTAGGAATACGAGGGGATTCCTACACATGAACCATGCGGCGGTCGCCAAAGTTGAGAAGAAATTCAAGACGTGGGTTGGGTCAAACGATGAGCAGTATACTGCCAGAAACCAAGCAAAGATAGAGTGTAGAAAGGCTGAAAAGGAGTTCCAGAGGCTGGTTGCAAGCGAGGTCAAGTCAAACCCAAAGGAGTTTTACCGCTAAGCAAAGTCGAATTTAAAAACGCGAGTAGGAGTATCAGACCTGAGGCTTGAAGATGGTAGTTACGCAGAGTCTGACCAGGATAAAGTCGAGGCATTGAACAGCTTCTTTTCCTCGGTGTTCACAAGAGAGGATGCGATTAACCTTCCTGCGTTTCAGGACAGACTGTTCGACACAGCACTGATCCACATTGTGTTCACAGAAGAGGGTATTAGAAATAAACTGTCAAAGCTAAAGGTCCATAAGAGTCCAGCCCTGACATGGTGCATCCTAGAGTGCTAAGAGAGTTGTGCAACGAGCTTGCCAAGCCCCTGAAGATCCTGTTATGTAAATGCCTGAATGAACAAAAGGTCCCCAGTAAATGGAAAATGGATCATGTGAGTCCTATCTTCAAGAAGGGCGATCGTCACTCCACGAACAACTACAGACCGGTGAGCCTGACCAGCATAATATGTAAAGTACTTGAGAGTATTATCAGAGATGCCGCGATGGAACATCTACTACCAAACAACCTCGTAAAGGATTGCCAACACGGTTTTATGCCGGGGCCTCCTGCTTCGCACACTTGCTCAAGGTATTGGATATTTGGACCTATATTCTGGAATGGGGTGGTAATATCGACAATTATATACCTAGATTTTACCAAAGCTTTTGACAATGTACCCAACGAAAGGCTGAAAATCAAACTGGAAGGGTACGGAATTCGGGGAAATGTCCTCGCGTGGATTAATGGCACAAAATCATCAACCGTACCTGTCACAAGCGGGGTACCACAGGGCAGTGTATTGGGCCTGCCGTTGTTTGTTTGTTTGTTTCATAAATGACGTGCCTGAAGTTGTACACTCCTCCATACAAATGTTTGCTGATGACACCAAGTTATTTCGGGAAATAAAGAACCAAGCGGACTGTGAAGAGCTGCAGAAGGATCTCTGAGAGCTCCAAGAATGGTCGAAGAAATGGCTGCTGAGATTCAATGTCACGAAGTCTAAGAGGATGCACCTGGAGCGTACCAATGGTAAGGAGGCGTATCATATGTCCAACGGGATGAAGAAACTGCACTATTTGAGACTGAATGTGAGAAGGACCTAGGTGTGTATGTTGTCAATGAGCTGAAGTTCTCGGGCCATTGCGAAAAGAAGGTAAACCAGGCAAATAAATTATTGGGTCTTATGAGAAGGTCGTTCAGATACCTAGACGGTCCGTCCTTCGGAACGATCTTCAAGAGTGAAGTGCTTCCCCATCTGCAGTACTGTCACCCCGTCTGGTCCCGAGATATGCTAGGGACTGTCAGTTGGTTGAAAATGTTCAAAGGAGGGCCACCAGACTGGTGCCTGCCCTTCGGCACCTCAGCTACCCCGAGAGATTGGAGCGCCTGAATTTGCCTAGCTTATATAACAGACGGGCAAGGGGTGACCTAATTGTGGTGTATAAGCATCTCAGGGGCACTACTCAGTTGAGTGTCCTTACTTGGAGCCGGCGGACACACGCCCCACAAGGGGTCATAGCTCAAGATTGAAGAAGCCGCAAGTCCAGAAAACAGTGAAGGCAAACTTTTTCGGAGTGAGAGTTGTGAACTCTTGGAACAATCTACCACAAAGTGTTGTGACGGCACCGAGTGTGAGCTCTGTCAAGACCAGACTTGACCAACACTGGGGCAGGTTCAGGGACATTCAGAAGTCGGTGCATGCCCAGTACTTGCCAACAGTGTGTAACAGAGAAGTGACCGATCGCCCAAGCGGCTAACGAACCGACCAATTGCTGTCCTGCAGTCTGGTGGTAGCGACCTAAAATTAAGTAAAACCCAGTATTAAGTGACCACAATAAAGGGCAGTGTAGTAGACCTTCACAATAACCAACATCAACACCACTTGTTGCAATAATGTAATAACCACACACATAAAAATAAACAATTCCTGAGACATAATTTTGTAGATTTATTCCTCCTGCATTTGGCAAGTTATTATTATATTTGGTAAAGAATAATCAATACTGAGTGTGACATTTTCAAAGGAAATTACACATAACAGCAGTAAGTGTATCACAAAGTTAATCATTCCTCTCTCTCTCTCTCTCTCTTTTGACGTGTGTGTGTGTGTGTGTGTGTGTTAACCTAGTCCTATTCATATTTTTTTCTATCAAACTAATAAAACTACAATATACTTATTCGTTCAATCAAAACTTAATACTGTTTACCCAACAGGTAGAGCTCTCAAGTCCTCTCCATCGACAAATTCAGTATTTCCATAGTCCACAAAGTACACCTGAAACAGATATAATATAAATACAATGAATTTCAAATAAATCAGTGAATAATATAAGTATAATTATTATTACTTTTCATGGGTGCCAGAATAAAAGTAATATATTTAATGAGCAATAATTCAAAACCTACCAAAACATTTGAGTCACAATGGACCTCCTCAATACGTGCTCTGTAATAAGACTGTAAACCATCAATGTCTTTATATTTGGCAAGACACACATGTCCCGGGGTAATGCCCTCTAGTGACAGAGGAGGTGCTTCATCATTTGATATGGCCGAGTTAATACAGGACTGAATATTAGTCAGGTCACGTGTTTCATCCTTTATCTTGAAAGTTTCACCCATTTCATTAGAAACCACCCAGAAATGTCCTGCCGTCTCTACCTGAAAGAAAAGAGACGGTCCATTTATAATAATGTATAGTCATAAATGAGGAGAGCTTGTTGCTGAGGAGCAGCAACTTATACAGTATTCATGAATCAATCTAAAGGGCAATAACTTTATTATTAACTGAAACTCTTAAAAAAATTCATCATTAATATTGATCCAGCAGTTCTGGCTAGAAGGTACAAACTAAAGTTTATACCATTGAAAGCCGGAGAACGGATGTCAAAAGACAGTTCCGAATCATTATGGCATCTTGGGTATATAGGTACGGTACACACTATCAAAAGAGTAACTGCACATTTCACGCACAACTATCTGACACCACAGACAATGGATATTGTAAAATGCCATATATTGCTGGCTCGCGATATTTCTTGTTTTATCCACAGGAAGTACAGGTACTGTTATTATATGAACATTCAGAAGAAAACAGATTAATCTTCCAAACAATGTGTAGCGTGGTTCATGTTGGTGGTTACATTGCAGCACTGGTGTCATTTAGGAAAACATTGGACACAATGTGCAGATATGTTTATGATTGTGTGTACAAGTAAGTATTAATTATACACAAAATACTCATCTGAAAGTTAGTAACTTTCATTATAGTGTACGTTATATGTGATGAAACAATAGTGTACAGTATCTTCAGTTTTACAATGAGGAAAACACAAAAGTGCATGCCCAGTACTTTCCAACAGTGCGTAACAGAGACGGGACTGATTGCCCAAGTGGCTAACAAGCCAATCAGTGGTGAAGAAGATAAAGTTAAAGTAAAGGAAACACCTACAGTACATACATGAGAAACATACACCTTCCAGGCATGATCTACTTGTGTTGGTAATATAGGAGGCTTCAGTCTGCAAACTGAGGGTTGGGTGACCCTAACAGCAGTGAATAGAGTTGATTGTTGAGGATCCTTCCTTAATTTGAGTGAAGAATTAGACTGGACGTTATAGCCCAGGGCCTCCTTCAATTTTCTTTCAGATTCCTCTGGACTGTAAAATGTTATGAAAAACTATAACATGTTAAAATTACCAAGGAAACAAAGTGCAGTAGAATAAGTCCTTCCACAACCTAATTATTATACAGTAAAAGTCCAAAAATCCGGACCACCCGAGAATCCGGACTTTTCGAAAACATTTTTTTTTAGCGGGCTTTTGTGTGTATGTGCACATGCGTGAGTGCCACAGCTGCACAGCGACAACAAGCGACCACGTGGTCGCCACTTTAAAACGAGCAATCAAACTGTGACAACATACCATATATACTCGTCTATAACCCCCCCTCGTTTATAGGTCGACCCTGATTTTTTTACCAAGAAATCGTTAATTTATGATATTCCGCGTTTATAGTTTGACCCAAGTTTTTGAGGGTAATGGAACAACAAAACCTTCAGTAAAAACGCTCTACGTCCTATAAACTGAGGCTTGCCGTGCCTGAAACACGAGTGCCGAAGGCAAATTGTTTACCATTTATTATTAGGACACTTTACACTGACAACGCGGGTAGTTTCAACAAAAATATTGTATATTTCCATTCAAATATTTATTCAAGTCAATTAGGAGGAAATATTATTGTAATACAACAGTTTTTTAACTAAACCATTCGAAAAGCGATTACGGTAACATCTTTTGAACAAAAGAAAGCGAAAGTCATTGTTTTCGTCACGATTTTATCCCACTTTCCACTGTAATACGTACGTAATTTCAGCAAAAATATTACATTTCCGTGAATGTATTATATCAAGCACAGTATGAATAGAATACCATTGTAATATAACAGAATTTTAACCGAAAACTATTAAAAAAACGAGTAACATCTCAAGAATTTCGGAAGCTTAGTTAAAGTCTTTTATTTTCGTCATGCATTTTATCCTATTATACATTGAAATACATCACGTTTCAGCAAAACTACTATTTATTTCCGAGAATATATTCATTCAGGCGCAATTTAGGTAAAATATACGTGTGATGTAATAGTTTTTTAACTGAAAACGATTCGAAAAACACGTACCCTCTAGCCCTGTTCAAGGAGAGGACTGGGAGAAGCTGTTTGGTGCTGCAGACGATGACATGGAATATGATTTTGATGGATTTTAATGAAAATATTTAGAAATATAGTATCGTAGTATTTATTCAAGTCAATTAGGATAGAATATTATTGTAATACAACAGTTTTTTAACTGAAAACCATTCGAAAAGCGATTACGGTAACATCTTTTGAACGAAAGAAAGCGAAAGTCATTGTTTCCGTCACGATTTCATCCCACTTTCCATTGTAATACGTACGTCACTTCAGCAAAAATATTACATTTCCGTGAATGCATTATATCAAGCACAGTATGAATAGAATACCATTGTAATATAACAGTATTTTGAGTCCTACTCTTTCCATTTACAGAGTACTGTACAAGCCCATAATAATGGCTCCTGAAGTAGATAAACTTCGTTGTGTGAAGAGAAAGAAGAACACGTTGAAATTGAGTGACAAACTTGAAATAATTAAGAAACTAGAACGTGGTGTGAGCAATACTGTTCTAATGGAAACATACGACATTGGAAAGTCTACAATTTATGATATAAAAAAGGCAAAGAATAAAATTCTAGAATTCACAGCTTTTTCATTAAAACTGCTCGTTTTGATAAATGAAGAATGCTATATTTGCTAATGAATAAACTATCAAAATGTACCTGTTCATCTCTTCTTTATTCCTCCTTAAATTTTAATTTTAAAAGTACTGCCTGAGAATCCGGAAAATCCGAAAATCCAGACCGACCCAATCCCCAAGCAGTCCGGATTTTTGGACTTCTACTGTATTGCTATTATTTTAGTATCCAGGGTTCTAACAACATCGGTTTTTAGCCCGTCCGATGCATTATAGAGTTATCATACTACAGATACCTTTGATAGCATTATGACATTAGAGCTGACAGTGAAAGAATTTGACCAAAACAAAGTGAAAATAAAGATTATCTTGCAATGAGCAAAAGAATATAGTAAACAATTCTTAAAACACCTTTTCTCTATTCAAAACTAAATCCATCATTTCAAAACACACCAACAAATTTTAACTCTCCTCGAGTCCAAACACGATAAAAGTAAAAGTAAACAACTGTTTCCTGGACTGCACTTGTCATCTTTGAAACCAAATAAATTGATGTACAGGGGCCCCATGTACACTGCCCCCTTCCTTAATGAGGCCTTGTTCAATGTCCCTACAGCAAACTTCCACTGATGATGGCCACCATTTAAAGGTTAAAGTTAAATGTACCTTTAGATTCACACCACAATTTCTCTTGTTACTTATCTAAGACAGGTGCTAAACAAGTTAGTTTATTTATATCTGGCTAATAGGATGAAGTAAAGGTAAAGTAATACTGTATATCTTACCTATAACAAGTTATAAAAAAGCCCTTCTGAATTCTCGTTATTTGGTGCATTTTGAGAGCCATATGCATTGTTGTTGGGCAGTCTCCTGGAATAGCCTTGAAGTGATTCTCCTTTTCTGAAGACCCGCTAAGTCTTGGAAATTGAATAAATGCCCTAAAGGGGAGAAATTTTATTAAAATCCTACTAAGGTAACCATATGTACAGTATATTAACAGTAAATCTTTAAGTTGTGGATGATGAACCAAAGAAAGGGAAGTTGGAGCTGTTTTGTGGAAGATTAATCTTGCGAAATGAAAATGAATGGTATGAATAATTTTGTATACCAGTAGATTACATACCAGGTATTCCTTCCCTGAAGCATATTTCCCACATAATGGAGAAATCAGAGGAAAACACTCAGTTCTACTCAAACAAGGGGACCAAGAACCCTAAAGCTCAATGATGAAAGGAATGGCTACTCCATCACATCTGTGAAACATCTTGCCAATTCATCATCTTTCAAAGTAAATACATAAACAGTTGTCTTCGATCACCTGAAGATTAGCCCCAGCTTATTTTACCCTAAGATTAACCACCCTAATGCTAATCAGGCCCCCCCCCCTCCATATGGATTGAATTAAGGTGTCAAATCGTCAGGGTAAATAAGATGGGGGGGAATCTTCATTGATTCAATGTAATTTTGCTTCCAATGCTAGAAATTTATGACTCTCTTAACAGGGCTGTCTTATCTCTGAATCTGGTTTTACAGGACCAATTCATTCTGAAACTTCCACTTGGTAGAAACAAAATCCCCAACTCTGTACTATACAACAGCAGCAAACAACCACTTCCAATTATTTCACTCCAATGAAGCAATAAAATGTGTACTAACAGGTCCAAAACAACCACCATCAGCATCATCAGAATAACATGAACCTAAATTTTTTTTTATTATTTGCAACTTCTACTAAAATTTTCTGGGGTATAATAATCAAGTGAAAGTTGCTCAAAAGTACTTATTGATCTTGATATATGACTTAAATTTGCTGAACTGTGAAAAATGTAAATTCTAACTAGAAATTATTACTGTACATAGAAGCATTATGAAAATAATCACGTTACTGTACTAATACATAATGTTTTATGAGTAACACATCCACTATAAGACCTGTTGAGAATTATGAACTCTTGGAACAACCTGCCAGTGTTGTGACAGCACTGAGTGTGAGCTCTTTCAGGGCCAGACTTGACCAACACTGGAGCAGGTTCCAATACAGTGGGGTATGCTATAATGAACGGATCCTACTACGAATATTCCTATAACGAACGGTTTTACCTATAAAATTGAGAATGCTATAACGAACGCAACTCCTACAACGAACGCGGATGAATACGGGACTTATTTCACCTGGCGCATGAATATTGTTGTACCGCGACCCACAACAAGAGCGTCAGGCGCCATCTTTGTCTCATTGTGTAGCCAGTGCACCACTGTTATTGTTGAAATTTCATCTTTTGATATGGAAATAAAGTTATTTGTATAAATATTTTATTATACAAGTGTATAATTGTGACAATGAATCGTCCAAAGCGAGTGAGAAAGCTCATAACTCTTGAAACTAAGAAAGAAATCATAAAGAAACATGAGGATGGAACAAGCATTGCGAAACTTAGTGATGAGTATGGGATGGCTAAATCGACTATATGTACAATTTTAAAGAATAAAGAGGAGTTGAAAACAGTGCAAGTGGCTAAGGGAATCTCTAGACTTAGCAAAGCAAGGTGTAATGTGATTGAGGAGATGGAAAACTTACTCTTAGTGTGGATAAAAGAGAAAGAAATGGCAGGTGATAGCATTAGTGAAGCTATAATTTGTGAGAAGGCCAGACAATTGTTTGAGGACCTTAAAGCCAAGACTCCCAGTGCAAGTGATAGTGATGTGCCATTGTTTATGGGTACCAAGGGGTGGTTTACTGGTTTCAGAAGGAGAAATAAAATACATAGTGTTGTGAGACATGGTGATGCTGCTAGTGCAGATAAGGAAGCAGCTAAGGAACACCATGACATTTTTTTGAATATTATTAAAGAGGGAGGCTTTGTTTCTCAGCAGGTATTCAACTGAGATGAAACTGGACTTTTTTGGAAAAAAATGCCTCGCCGTACATACATTACCAAGGAGGAAACTTCTGTCCCTGGCCATAAGCCAATGAAAGACAGGCTTACCCTCCTTCTTTGTGCTAATGCTTCTGGTGACTGCAAAATAAAGCCACTCCTTGTGTACCATGCAGAAAACCCCAGAGCTTTCAAAAAAATTAGGAAGACCCGCCTTGGTGTTATGTGGCGGTCAAACCCAAAGGCTTGGGTGACCAGGAATTTATTCTCTGAGTGGGTGATTGAGGTGTTTGGACCCAGTGTTCGGGAATACCTCAGGGAGAATAATCTTCCACTGAAAGCTTTGTTGGTGATGGACAATGCACCAGCCCACCCTCCTAATTTGATGGTTGAATTGCCAGAGGAGTTCAACTTCATCACTGTGCACTTCTTGCCACCCAACACAACACCTCTCATCCAGCCCATGGATCAACAGGTAATTTCTAACTTTAAGAAGCTGTACACAAAGGCACTGTTTAGAAAATGTTTTGCGTCCACTTCTTCCAGTGATGTTAGCTTGAAGGAATTTTGGAAGAGTCACTTCAATATAGCAGATGCTGTATTTTTAATTACCTCAGCCTGGAAAGAAGTTACTGTTAGGTGTCTTTGTGCTGCTTGGAGGCCATTGTGGCCTGAATGTGTCCTTCAAAGAGACTTTGAAGGCTTCGAAGAGTTAGAAGAAGAGGCTGTTGTTCATGAAATTGTGTCTCTGGGCAATTCCATGGGCCTGGAAGTGGATGATGATGATGTTGAGGAGTTGGTGGACGAGCACACTAAGGAATTGTCCACTGAGGAGCTGCTTGAGCTTCACAAAGAGGAAAATGAGACACTGAAGCGGAGCTTAACTTCTGAGGAGTCAGGGGAGGAGGAGGACAAGGAGGAAAGCCGCATCATTCCAGCCAAAGATCTCAAGGATAGGTTCTTTTGCTGGAGCAAACTGTCCAAACTTGCTAAGGATTATCATCCTGATGTTGGTTCTGTGCAAAAGGCCATCAGTGTGTTTAATGACAATGTTATGAACTACTTTTGGAAGGTCCAGAAATCAAGGTTGAAGCAGCCAACCCTGGATTCCTTCTTTACAAAGGTAACTGAAGAACCTACAGACAAAGTGCCTGTGAGACAGCCACCAAAGAGGGCTAGGAAGGATGACTCCTCTCCTTCCACCTCTTCTCCATAATTCTCTCCTCCCCCCTCCCCCTCTGCCTCCTGTCCTGCATGCTGAACAACACTAAGGTAAGACAAAGTACCGTATTTTTTACATTTTCCACAGAATTTTTTCAGTGTTAAGTGGTTGTATTTGAGGGCCTGGAACGGATTAATCCTATAACGAACGAGGTTCTGGAACCAATTACATTCGTTATAGCATACCCCACTGTATATTCAGGAGCCCAGTACTTGCCAACAGTGCATAAGAGAGACGAGGTCAACCACCCAAGCGGCTAACGAGTGTACCGGTGGCAATGAGGATAGAAGTAAAAAGTAAAGTAAACGTAGACCTGTCTCTGGAAGACAATATATGCATAAAAATCACCCATTTTGTGCCAATGGTGTGGCAGGAAGCTGGTAATAACTGGTGTACCCTCTGGGTTAATATAGCACCCTGGGCTGAGGGATCACAAGTTGGCAAAGGCTACTGAACTCCCAAACTGGCAACCAGTAGAGTACTTGTTACAAGCTGTAGCCTGTTGAAGGGCATAACCCAGAAAAAGTGAAATAACCCATATTAACCACTCTGGTGTAGTTTGCCTTGATCCTTCTGCACTAACTTATGGATGGCAGCAAAACCCTGTATACCTACAAGTGAATAACTAAATTTTTAAGCAGAGATCTTTTCCTTTTGTTCCAGAGATAATTACCAAACCATGAGAAAATCATCTCCACTTACCTGCTTCCTTCATAGGAAATGCGAAGGTTTTGTGAACACTCCTGAAATAGCTGCCTAATTTGCTGGTCATACACAATGTTAGTATCTGGGGGCAGACCTCCCACAACCACCGTCTTAAATGGATCGTGTCCATTCAGTTCCCGACATATCTCTTCCTCGTGGTTATCTGGGATGTAACGTTTGAAGTAGTGTGGGAAGAAGGCACTTGCTATGCATATCTGTGGGGATGATAGTTTTTACTCAGTCTTCAGATGGGATGTATATATTTAATGTGTTGTCAGGCTGTCCCTCTGTCTGTCCTTTCATTCATTAACACAAGAGTTTTCATTCATTCTCATCAGATCTAACAGCCTGATTCCCTTCATATTGCAAGTTTAAACTCACTCCATGCTTCATGAAGCCTACTTTGGATTCGTACAATGTCTGATTATTTTGGCTTATTTCCTGCCTTCTGTTTGATTAAGAGGTTTCTTATCAGTATCCCTTGAGACTAATACAGGGACCAACTGCCATCCACAGATGTAACCCATTTTTGACAATTTCCTGTCATTACAGTGGCTGAGAGGTTTCTGATCATCTTAAACAAAACTAACAGTTCCTTCCTTTCTGTAACTGTGTTGGAATAGGAGGAATGAAGAAATCCCTCCACTCACTTCACATTGCATCTGAATACAGTACCCGTCCCACTGTTTCCCTAATGTGGAATTAACAATTTCTGATCATGGAAAAAACTTCAGATAAGAATTTTGCAAGACAACAAGCACCAGCAATGAATACCCTCTATGTACCCTTCAGAGAAGACATATAATTTCAAAGCAGATTACACTATCCTGGTGGATAAGACCAGATAAAGATTTTTTTTTTACATGTAATCCTCTTTACCCAGTTGGATTAGTTTCAAGAACCAATGAACACCTGTGGGCATACTGGCACACCATGATGAAAGAATTAACTCTAATTCAAAAAATTAATATAAAAGACAAACATTTATCCTAATCAAATGTTAATATTAAACATTACCATACCTTTAGAATAAGGCAGTGACTCTGATTGATTGGATTATGCACTTGAGGTTCGATCTTGAAACGTTGCAAACGACTTGTCAATTCATTCACTAACGTTTGCACTTCCCGTAGGGCAACGAGGTCTACATAGCTGTGCCTGGCCCAGTGTTTCTCAGTTTGGCCGCCTCGATGAATGAACTTTCCTCTGAGCTGCAAACTCTGCCACAGCTACGGGTATCGGGTAATGTAAATAAACATTAAAATTTCCAATATTCACAGGTAAAAAGCGCAATATAATCATTGACTCCTTATTCAATTTAGGGTATGTTACCCGAAAAGTATCTGTTCCGAGCATTTAAACCAAACGTCATACCAAACTATTTTAGCACAGGCTGTGCAGATTATGTGCAACATTTACTTACCTCAGGCATGTGACTTCCGAGATTTAATTGGTTGAATAATTTATTGCCAGGTCATAACTCCTGTCACATCACATTTACAGCCTCTGAGATTGGTGTTTCTTCTAAAATGTTGACAACTTGACACTAATTGATTTGAAACTTAATGTAAAGATGAATTACCCACAACTGAAATAGGTCACTAATCCTGGTGGGGTCACGCAGCACCTGACACAATCCTGTCTAGGCATCTATTTTCCTATCAAAATACAGCCACTCCTCGACTTACGACCAGCCGGATATACGACAGCCGCAGTCGTATAAAATATTTTTCAAATTATGTATTTTCGAGTCCTGACGTTAGTGATCGCGCTGTGTACTGAAAAAAATTTTGTTTGTAATTCCCTTTAAATTGGCTGGCAAGCGTAAAAGTGAAAGTTCTCGTGGTGCCGAGAAGAAAAAGAGACACCCATTTTAGATTTTCTATGTATTATTTTCGCATTTTCGACTTACGACCCGGTCGTTGGTCCCTAACCCCGTCGTAAGTCAAGGACTGATTGTACTATGAATGAGTTAAAAAGACAAAATAATGATGATAATAAATAATAATAATAAAAAAGGAATGTGTGTGTGTCCTTACATCATAGGCGTTGAGAACAGCAATGCAATCAGAGAAGGAGCCATAAGACCAGGAGACCTTGGAAAGATAGGCATTTAGTTCATCTCGGAATGGATGGGCATGGATGCCTCTCAATGACAAGCCAGCAGCTGAAAAGAAATAACAGTAGAGAAAACAAATAACCATTAACAGATAAAATTTACAAGTCTACTTACAGAGAGGTAGCATTTGATAAGTTGGGTCTAATTCAACAAATGTGTTTGATGTTAATAAAAAATAAATAGAATAAAAGTAAAGGCATCATTAAATATACAAAGATTATAGTGTGATAAATCATACTTCACACACCTAACCAAACTAAAGGATAATTGAAAACTATGTCTTGTGGAAAAAAATAGACTGGTATATTGCATTTAATATTGTGTAATGTTAAAATGTGCCTGTTATTGGCCATCACTGTCAGAAGACTTGGAATAATATGCCAGTGTTGTGACAGAACCAAGAGTTAGATCATTCAAGACCTGACTTGACCAATGCTGGCACAGATACACTCTGGAGCCAGTGTATACCCAGTATGTGCCAACAATGTGTAACTGAGTTATGACTGACAGTCCAAGTGGATTACAGGCCAATCAGTGGTGAAGGGGCTTAAGTAATGTAAATTTTTCTTCCTTCACTTCCCAGATTTAACCTCATTGGTGGTTTTCTTTGGAAATGTAACCCCCTAAGGCAGTGGTTCTCAACCTTGTTTGCCCCATGCACCCCTTTCACCATATGTCAGAATGTCATTTCCCCCTCCTTTCCAAGATTGTCTGCCTCAAAAAGTGCATTCCAAATAATATGCATATAATACTGGAAATCTTTTATTTTTTCCATATTAGTATCAGTTTTACCCCCCCCCCCCTGAAAACCTGAGGGGGGAAATTCCCCCCTGGTTGAGAACCCCTGCCCTAAGGGATTCACATGTTTACTCCACAGGAGTAACATATAATATACAGAGTATAAAAAAATGTATACACTGCCTTACACAAGTGCAAATAATGTTGCTGTTATAATAGAAGCATTCACACGATAATAAAATCTATAAAGCAGTATGTAGACAGTTTTGCCAGACACCCTATGCACTCACACACCTCTCATAAATTATAAAACTATCTTCCCACCATATGTTGTCTTCCCCATCCCGAACAATAATTTTATGACAGCCTAAAGGACCCCATAAATGACCTGAGACAAAACCAAAAGGCATACAATGCTTGACAGTAAACAGTATGATCCATTAAGTCAAAGTAGTGTTACAAGTGAAGCATCCATTCTACCATGGCCACCTAATTAATCCATGTGGGTCCTGTAGGACAAAGAGGCAGAAAACAGAGAAAAAATGGAAGATCTTAAATGAGAATGAAATCTTTACTCACCAATAATTATACATTCCCTGAGACAACCTAACAGATAGCCCATCACAATCAGCTTGGCAAGACGGGGATCAAGTGGAAGAGCGACAATCACCTCTCCTAAGAATGTTAAATTACCATCTAGGGAAGATATCTCATTGTTGGATTTGACAGCAAGAGCACCCATCTGTTCCAAAAGAAAAAAAATTAATACAATTAAATAAATACACAAATAAATACATATATACAGCACAGGGTGAAATGTTGTGAGGGGGAAGACTTGTGCTTGATGTAACATGACCAAAACAAGAGTTGTCATAAGATATTGAAACACTTTGTTTCATCACATTCTTTTAGACAGGAGACCAGGTGTCATCATGCATATATCTAGTGGCTGCAGCACATTGTGTTACTGTACAACCATAGCAGGATGTACAGTCACGTTCAAGATTCTTCGAATACTGCTGGAGACAGCTGGCAACTCAAGGCCGTTTGTTTACTATACTACGTAGTAAAAATTATGAATGAATGTAAAAGTGATCGGTGATTGGTTACTTAGTTCCCCGTTGCTTAATTAATGGTTGGGCTTTGTTGTTTCGCATTATATTATGCCTTTCTGCAAGTATATACTGTTAATTTGATTTTAAAATAGATAGAGCAATGAGCCAACCTATATGAATTTATATTTAGATAAATAAACTTAAGTAAAAATCGGTAAGTATGTTAAAGAACATCATGCAGCGGGCACAGCTGTGTGCAGGCTGCGCCCTGGCATAAAACCGTGTTGGCAATCCTTTACAAGGTTGTTTCGTAGTAGATGTTCCACCGCGTCATCTCTGACAAGACTCTCAAGTACTTTACATATTATGCTGGTCAGGCTCGCCGGTCTATTGTTGTTCGTGAAGTGACGATCGCCCTTCTTGAAGATAGGATTCACTTAAGCCACTTTCCAATCACTGGGGACCCACTTCATTGCCAGATGTATAACTGTATTTGATTTAGTGGAATGATTACCACCTGCATTACTTTAAGAGATACCATTAGATAATCACACCCATTAAGAGTGATCGTTGTAGCCACAGGTCAAAATCTTCCAAAAGGTGGACAAGTGACCATTTTTCTAAAAGAGCAATTCTTTGTTATAAATGATCAGGACCAAGATGCTCAGTGAGGTAACATATTGTAGAGTATCTGTGTAGAACCAAAGTTGGAATTAATAATTAATGTGACCTACATTTCCCTCAAAATGTTACAGCTACGGCACATACATATGAGAAAGGTGACTGTTATCATCTGATAATTCTACCCACTGAATATGGTGGTGGTGCAGTGTTTTACAAGTGATATACGACCTTACAGTACATGTACCAGCAAAAGTTCAACATCTGTTTATGTTGATAATTACAACACAACAAGGGAAGTAAAGCTACCTCTTCTGCACTTTGTGAAAGTGAGCTAAACATTGCAATGGATATAAATAAAGTTGCTTCGTAAATACTGTATACGTTAACATGACTTCAGACCACTAAGTTAATCAGTAGTCTCAGGCATTAATATCCATCCTTATAGCTTCTTGGACCTTTACTCTAGCACAGCAGAGGATGTGGCCAGCTTGAGCTGCAAACGTGAATTTTTTTGATCAAACTGATTATTTCCTTTATCAAAACACTCATGCAGTAAAGACAATATTTCTACCTAACAAGAGACATTTGTTAGCCTCAAACTTAAAGTTCAACATTAATAACAAAAGTATCATGTATGCAATTTACTTGCCTGCTTCAATGTGAGGATAGTTCGATGTATGTCAACCAAGTTTGGTGGATCAAGAGCCAGAGCCAGGAGGGACTGAGGTTCCCCCATATTAAGCACCTTGGTCTTCAACACTAAATGGCTGAGGGGTATGCGGCACAGTTCAGGAGTTGAATATAAAGGCAGAGTCTGAAACACAATGTACTAAAACAGGCTTCTTTTGTCTCTTCTTTTTACACCATCTCTTCATCCCTATTCACCAAAACACTATTAACCACAACAACTAATATGATACAGCATAATACCATTTATATATACGTAGTGGTTAGACCTCTGGGTGCTTTGGGTAAAGGATATGACATAACCACCTAGTTTCCACTCATCCTTTATCACTCTTCCTTTCCACTATCTCCAAAAACACAGTAAATTTGGGCATCTCTCAAACTCAAAAAATATTATTCGTTGAAAAATACCTACAGTACAGTACCCAATAATTATTCAAATGGAAACCAAGACAACCAGTAGATTAATATATAATCTAAACACATTACAGGGGTTCCCCAGGTTATGAACAGGTTCCGTTCCTGAGGACGTTCTTATCCCTCTCAACCTCGGAGCCTGCGACACATAAGTGCATGAAAACCTACGCTCAGCCTCAGAGGTTTTTGCTGACTTTTTTTTTTAAGGGGTCATTTCACTGCCATGGAATTTTATTAATTGTAATGGGGCCTCTTCTAGTGTAAAATTGTCTGAAACTATTTTGCTTTTATTATGATGTTCATTGATATGTACTATATACTAAAATATAGAACAAAGCATGCAGAATATCGTCGTATAAGGAAAAATAACATAACACAAAAACTCGTGGAATACTTTAATGGCCGGGCAGCGCACCCTCCTCTCGCTCTAATGGCCAGAGCAACACCAAACGCCACTCACACGGCGACCAAGACCGTCTCGGAGAAGGTGATAAGGCCCACACAAAGAAAACGACGTCTGTCAAATGGCATCCAAAGTTCAGTCAGTTTCAATGAATAGTTTTTGAGTTATTTGAAAGTACGGTCCATTGGACGCCACGTTGGCGTCGCGAGGCTGAGCACAGGTTTTTTGTCTTTTATGTTCGACGTCACTATGGAGATGTGCAAGGCTGAGAGGGTTAAGTTGGATTTGTATGTAAGTCAGAACACATGCTATGTGCATACCGTACTTACAAAACAATTTTTGAAATCCCACTATATCATAGCCTAAGTCCCTACATACATGTAAAATCACTTAATTTAAGAGAAAAGAAGAAATAGAATGAAAAAATAGAGTAAATGAAAGCAAAAAATAAATCATCGGGTAAATAAAATACTGTAAATTTCAAGTTTAACTCCTTTTTCTATCGGCGGGCATTCGTAAGTCAGGGACCCCCTGTACAGGGAATACATATTAACAAATGGAGCAGTGTTTCTTTACCAACCCTAAAAAATGACTGTGGTATAAGACGGTAAACTCTTCCCGACGAGACCCGTCCACACCTTCCTGCTTTCTGTTGGCAAGAAGCCTGCGATGACCAGTCCATCTTCAGTGAAGTATAGTTAGTTGCACTATCATATGTCAGCACCTTTGTCAGGCAGAAGTCGATCACTGAAAAGTATTTAGTATCTGAGTTTCACAAAGATTTATCACACCAAAGCATCCTACAGTCGACCCTCGTTAATTCGGACCCCTTTAATCCGGATTTCGGGTAATTCGGACAAAATCTGAACGAACTTTTTTTTTTTATATTTGTAGGAATATTACCTACGCGGACCTTAAGCTAAAATGCTGGTCCACCCACTGCTTGGATAAAACACCAGCTTCTTTTTGGTTAAATGTAACATCACCACTAGTGTGGGGGGGGATGCAACTTTTAGCTTCAGACATGAAAAATATTTACTATTTACTGCCAGTAAACAATGGAAATGTAAAATATGTACCAATTAGTAATGAAAAGTTGTGCAGTTCCTTCAGCAAATGAAGCTCACTAACTTACAATAGGCTAAATTACCTTACAACGTGATTTCAGTAGTCTATGTTGAAGTTCTTAGCACAGGCTAACTTATCATATACGGCATCACAGTACCCATTGATCTACAAAAAGTACCGGTAATAAAAACGTTTTTGATATTTCACACTTGATATAGTACCCAGTAATCCACCTCAACCTCATATTGTTTACAACGATCACGACGCACCACCACCATCTGTTGAGTATCAGCTAGACGGTACACGTGTTTTTCGAATCGTTTTCAGTTAAAAAACTGTTACATCACATGTATATTTTACCTTAACTGTGCCTGAATCAATATATTCTCAGAAATAAATAGGAGTTTTGCTGAAACGTGATGTATTTTAATGTAAAATAGGATAAAATACATGACGAAAACAAAAGACTTTACCTAACCTTCCGATGTTCAAGAGAAATTACTCGTTTTTTTTAATAGTTTTTGGTTAAAATACTGTTATATTACAATGGAATTCTATTCATACTGTGCTTGATATAATGCATTCACGGAAATGTAATATTTTTGCTGAAATGACGTCAGTATTACAGTGGAAAGTGGGATAAAATCGTGACGAAAACAAAGACTTTCGCTTTCTTTCGTTCAAAAGATGTTACCGTAATCGCTTTTCGATTGGTTTTCAGTTAAAAAACTGTTGTATTACAATAATATTCTATCCTAATTGACTTGAATAAATACTATGATACCATATTTCTGAATATTTTCATTAAAATCCATCCAAATCATTTTCCTTGTCATCGTCTGCAGCACCAAACAGCTTCTCCCAGTCCTCTCCTGGAACAGGGCTAGAGGGTATGTGTTTTTCGAATCATTTTCAGTTAAAAAACTGTTACATCACACGTAAATTTTACCTAAACTGTGCCTGAATGAATATATTCTCGAAAATAAATAGTAGTTTTGCTGAAACGTGATGTATTTCAGTGTAAAATAGGATAAAATACATGACGAAAACAAAAGACTTTACCCAAGCTTCCGATGTTCGAGAGATGTTATTCGTTTTTTTACTAGTTTTCGGTTTAAATACTGTTATATTACAATGATATTCTATTCATACTGTGCTTGATATAATACATTCACGGAAATGTAATATTTTTGCTGAAATTACGTACGTATTACAGTGGAAAGTGGGATAAAATCGTGACGAAAACAATGATTTTGAAATATAATGCAATATTAACCCCTAAATCGGTTAATTCGGACAATCTGCTAAAACGGACACCCTTCCCCTATTAGTCCGAATTAACAAGGGTCGACTGTATTTGGTTAACAATACTCTACAGCAGTTGGCTTATTTAAGATTATACAAGGTTATGTAAGGCTATATTAAGTAAAGTCAAATATACTAACTTTAGTTACATAAGGTTAGGTTAAAAACTCATCAACAAAAATTATCTGTATGATTCATCTATTTTTATACCTTCAGCAAGTATTTTTATGCTTTAAATAAAAAGGTACCAACCATATTTGATATCTGTTATAGTAACAGAGCTCTCGGCAATATTTGTTGACAATATAATTTTCCTGAAGCCTTTTGGTTGGGTTGAGAATGCAAGCTGTTGTTCCTCATGTGTGATGGAGGAGTGAAGTGGAAACAACTGCCATCTGAAATGTTAATGGGTGTCATTATGAATGTAGTGTGTATACACGAACTGTAATTATGAAAAGCACCAAATTACTTTGTTTTGATTTTGTTATGCAAATAAACATAGTTAACGGGTGAGGCTTGTTTAAGTAATAAAATCACTCCTATATCGAAGTATCTGGTATTTTGAACTCCCATTTCCCCTTTAGTTCAAATAATGAGGTTCTATTGTATCTGAAGGCCACCCAAACTAGAGGTGCCCATGCCAGTGGTCTGTGTAGAATCCCTCCATTGTTCTTGATGATCTTGTCTTGGGCTATTTTGAAGCCCAGTGTACAGTAGTACTAGTCTCTATTCCACAACTTGAGCTATTAAGTTGCTCCATACATCTATCACTCTCATTGAAAAGAATTATTTGCTTATGTTCGTTCTTCATGATACCTTGGAGTTATGAAGATAAGGACCGGGTTAACATTTTCCATCCCTCTCAAGATTTTGAATGTATGAGATCTGCCCTATTAAGTCTTGTTTGAAGAGTTGTTAGTCCCAAGGCCCTCGGTCTTCCTGGATAATCAAGGTGATACATGCTAGTTCCAGAATCATCTTAGTTATTCTATGTTGCACATTTTCAAGGAATGCTAAATTTTTGTGGGGGATAGAGGTTCCATACCTGTATAAAGTACTATTCCAGACTGGGATGTAAGAGATACTTATAAAGTTGAAGGAACATTTTCTTATCTTTGTATCTAAGTTATTCCTAAATCTTAGTTGGCTTTTTCCACTGTTGCACTGCCTTCAGTGACTGATGTCACAATACTTAGATCTTTTTACTTATGAACAATAACAGGAAATGTTATAAACAAAATAGTTGTGATTGGGGTTGTTGTAATCTACATGACATACAGTCTTACATTTTGTAATGCGAAAAAACAATTCGCAGTCTCAAGCACAAACTTGACTTTGTGGCTTGCTATATTTTCCTTCATTTCATTTATGTAGATCACAATGATAGTTTCTGTGGTACTCCACTAAGAAACTTTTTCCATTCTGAATGTATTCTATTTATGACCACTTTTTGCTGCCTGTCTTTGAGCCATTTGTTAATTCACTTCAATATCTCCTGTGATGCCATGTGCCTGGATCTTAAAGAGGCACTTTGTCAAATGCCTTAGAGAAATTCATGTACAACAGATCCACTGGTAAGCCTTGGTCCATGTACCTGTAGTCTGTTCCCATTTCAAGGAAAGTGAATAAGTTTGCCAGACAGGATTTGCTCTCCATGTACTCATGTTGTGATGCATTGATAAGACTGTACTTGGTCAGGCTATCATACAGGTTTTCAGGAATGCATATTGGGATCATACATCACTTAGGCACAGGACAAGCCCACCATGTTTCCTATGTCACGTTTCTTTGCAATATTTTGTAAAAATTTTAAATTCACAGGCAGTTACTATATCAAAGACGCTTAATAAATCTAGAATTCAACACTTACAACACTTGCTACAGTCTATACAGTACATGAGAGAAAATCCAACTGTAAAATTTGGAGATAAGTTTAAACTCACTTGTATCTTTCGGCTCTCTCACCTAGGTGGTCAATCAAGCATTCAATTTGAAACAAACCGGGCAGGAACACCAAAACTGCTCCTCTGAAGAAAAAATAAATAAATAAATAAAGCAAATTAACTGCAATCAGAAGAAACATATTTTTAACAAGGTAAGAGCAGTCAGAACAGGCTATTCCCACCCACATCCATAAAACAGTATCCACTTTTTCACACATAAATAATAGTATCTACATGAGTAATTGCAACACTTCCTTAGTCACTTAACACTTAAAAAAACCCACTTCCTGATCAACACTTTACACCCACATCTTTATCAGTCATGGCAACACTTCCTTATAGTCATTTTCGCACTTACCAACACTTTAATAACTACACCCTCACTCACTCGGCTACAGACATACACTTCAGGTAGGTGTTAATCAACCAATACCAAAAGAGAGTAAAACAGCTTGTGTACCTTGTTGTCACCATCTTCTCGGTGTTCTCCTCCAAGATGTCAAAACACGATATCATCTCGACAACAAATTTGTACATGTCGTCATCTATACTCGGGTTTCCTGGGTTGATCCTTGGTAACTTGGGTATTATAGTCTGAAAGAATACCTAACCTAAGAACAACTTTTACAGGAACTAGTTGACACAGTCATCTATACTATTGTGAAATTGTATACTGTAGTTATAAAGGGATTGTGGGCTGACGTGCATGGGAGGTGGTGAGTTGTCCTTCCTCCCTCCTCCTCCCCTGAGTCCTGGGCTATGTATCCATACACAGTATTGTGTAGTGTCTTAATATAATTCGTTTTCTATTCCTATAATTCATTCATCTTAATCTATTTCATAATATATTCAAGCCACCCCTTTCCAACAGGGCTTTTGTTGGCGAGTGTATATTGTATACCTGCATAGTCTACTGTATGCACACTGCATAGTCTAAATGTATGGTGAAAAGCATTAATAAAACAATTAAATTATAAAACATACTGTACAGTAGGTATAAAATAAGAAAAACTAGAGTGGAATTGTGAGACGGAGTAGGGCAGGTAGCAGGGCTGGACCCAACGGAAATTTCCCACCCCTTTCTAACCACAGTAAGTATGCAATTTCACCATAATTCCCATATTATTTAGGTTCATTTGGTGCCAAGTTAATGAAATATTATCATAAAATAATCCCACACTCAACCCCAGATGAGTTAATGAGTTTGTGTACAACAGTCAGCAAGCCTGTATCTATGTTCTTTATTTATTTGTTGCTTTTATTGGTACTGTACAATGGTGTTACCTGGAGAATGGTTATGAGAAGGAAGGAATTGTTATGTAATATACAACTACCTTTTTGTGTTTCTAAACATTTTTTTTAAGGGAATGAGCCACAAAGTCTAAACTGGAAACCATAAAATCACAAATGGCAAGAGTTTACTGTATTTCATCAACTTCTGCTGACCTCAGAATAATGAAAGGCTAACTGCTATGAATGCACTTAAGCTTAAAGTATAAAACTGCTTGATGAAATACTCACTGGTCTGTCTCTGCAGATCACACGAAGATCTTCCAAGTAAAAGGTCATGATTTTGTGGCGTGTCCTCTTCCCTATGGAAATAACGGGTGCAGGTACTAACTGGTCCGTGACCGGAGTGGCAAAATATTCAGAAAATTTGAAGGTATCAATGGTGGCCGACATCAGAATGATCTGTAAGTACAGAAAATCTTTATAAGAAGATAAAATATAAGATTATGACTTCTTATCCAAATCTATGTCTTAGAATCGTCTAATTAATGTATCCAAAATTGTAAATTCAACAAGAATTTGATTAAGTTACTTAAGTGAACTTACTTTCAGAAGATGTTCAAGTCTTTCAAGTAATGAACATTTTTAACTCTTTATTCTGCAATTGTTCTACCCTGTAGTTTACATTTAGCACAGCTGGTGTGTCATATAAACAATGTGGAGTTGCTGATTTTTCTTACTTTACATAGCATGAGTTGAGTTGAGACTACAGTAAACAGATCAATTAGTATGGCAGTGAATTTCATTTAGCAGCAAATGATCACCTCCGGAGAACCTGCAGGTATACAGTCTTTGTCCATAATATCTAGAGTACTGTACATACCAAGTAGCACACTGTACAAGGTGTTCAATCCTTTGGCCACTTTACACACGCCTTCACCTTACCTTAACCCGAGGAGAAACAGAACGAAGCAGCTTTTTCACAAGAAGGATGGCAAAGTCTGTCTCAGCGCTTCGTTCATGAACCTCATCCAAGATAATGTGTGTGAACTTGTCAAGACTGCGTTGGTTAATTAGTGTCTGAACCAATACTTCTGCCGTGACGTACACGAGTCTTGTGTCAATGTCGGTGCGTTTGTCCAGACCTACCTGAAAGAATAAAAATATTAGCTACTTTCAATCAAAATTAGACAATTTACAAATCCATATTTCATCTAAATTTAAATGAACTTTTGGCCCAATTGCAAGTGAATCACAAAAGCATGACTGCCCATTAGGGACAGTGTGGATACAGCATATAGTATACGAAGCCTTCGGTACACAGGAGGCAGGAATCGAACCACTGACCCCCATAACAGGAGGCAAATGCTGCACCCACTCAACTGCCAAGCTCTGATCTGGCCCCAATTAAAAAAATATTAATATAGTTCACTTCCACAACTTATATCAACTGTGAAACAAACATTACTATATATTGTATCCAATTGATTTATTATACAAATTGCAGACAGATCAATCCCTCCTAGTTATTTTAGCTGTGAGACCTTCCTGAGTCAGAGTATTTGGGGCTTGAGGCTATCCGACTTATCTAGAATTCTGACTTAAGTGTAACCTCCCTCCCTCCCTGGATGCTTTCAACCACCAGTTTGCTGAAAAATTCCTTCCAAAAACAAAATTAAAATTGCCAATATACATTTAGACTGCAATTACTTTTTTGTAGCAAATGACTCTTAAGGTCCAGTGTAGGACTTACGGTACTGTACGTATACTCACACTTATATTTAGTAACATTTATACATTATCTAATATGCACTTATGGTAAATCTGGCTGATGTTATGGTCCTCGGTGGTGTTGCTTTGCCTTTACTTGCTTTACAGGCCATAATAATACACTTGGGAACCACTAAATGCAGATGAAAAAAAAAACAGGAGTGGAGCGGTGGTCACAACAACAATGTGCGAACTGAACCCCCCCCAAAGCTAGAGCTCGTCCAAATTATGGAGGTTTCCGACTTTGGGAATTAACATTGTCTTATCAGTGAGACCATGTGAACTAATTTTGTGGCCTAGAACATTTGATGTGAACAGATTAATAATTCACTGAATAATTAATTAACTAATGTCGTGAGTGCCTTAAGTATAAAGAGTTTCGTGTCGTCCAAACTATACTAGTACGGTTACATGCTTGGGACCATTCAAGACTCTGTGCAGCCCAGTGCCTGGTGACAATGAGGTGTAAAAACATCTCAAGGGGCACTACTCAGTTGAGTGTCCTTACTTGGAGCTGGCAGACGCTCGCCCCACAAGGGGTCACAGCTCAAGATTGAAGAAGCCGCAAGTCCAGAAAACTGTGAGGGCAAATTTTTTCGGAGTGAGATTTGTGAACTGTTGCAACAATCTACCAGCAAGTGTTGTGACGGCACCGAGTGTGAGCTCTCAAGACAAGACTTGACCAACACTGGAGTGGGTTCAGGTACATTCAGGAGCCGGTGCATGCCCAGTACTTGCCAACAGTGTGTAACAGAGACGTGACCGATCGCCCAAGTGACGAACGAGCCGATCAGTGGTGAAGAGGATAAAATAAGCAAATGTAATGAGAAGTGGTCAGCCAGGAGGTAAGTGACTGTCTAACAGCTAATAACCTGAATAGTGATAAATCTAATAAATTACCAAGTACTGTTTGGTATAATTTTTCTCACCTCATCCTAGTTAAATTTAAATCCACTTTTTTTATATATTTAATTCCATGTGCAGTAAATTTGGTCATTATCCACTCATCAATCTTGTACCTACGACTGAAATGGATGGATGGAACAAGACAGACAGATGGGACCAACAGAAGGATGAAGGTAAACAGTAGGTTATAAACAATAGGTTATAAACAGTAGGTTATTAACATTAGGTTATAAAAGCTTCAGTAATGTACAAAAATTCATATGACAAAATCTTACCTGATAACCAACTAATTTTCCCAGTACCCAATTACGTTCTGTACAAACTCGACGAGCCAGAGAAATAGCAGCAATCTTACGAGGCTGTGTGACCACAATATTGCAATGGACGTTTTTCTCTGCTGCATCATCTAGGATGAACTGAGGAATTTGTGTTGATTTTCCACATCCTGTTTCTCCTTGAATTACCACAACTTGATAGTTAGAAATTTCCTTAAGGATCTAAAAAAAATAAATAAAAGATATGAAAGAAAACATTCACACAAAATTATAATTAGTAAAATCACCAAACAAATTTACTAATGGTCTGGGGTGTACAGACCATATACGTATACTGTACTGTACAGTTCGGGTTGTATATAGAAGAGGTAGATATAATGTGTACATACAGCAGACCATACAGATATACAATTATCAATGTATCTAGACAGTGTGGGTATACAGCAATGGTAATCAGTAAGACAACAAAGTAAGTAGATCAGTGGCTATTAACTTGGAGGCACAGATCTAGCCATTCATTAATTTTAATCTTAACTTCACGTACCATTGCCAGAGACATCATCCTGTTAGAGGGGTCCCCGAGGTCCACACGAGGATAATATTACATAATATTACAGTTTTGGAGATACGTACGGTGAAACCTCCATAAAAAAGACTTCACTCCATATAATCCGTGAGATAGGGTGGAGGGTGTTCTCATCTAACGGACTCTCAATACAGCGGACTTTCATCTCTATAAAGTATACTGTACTTGTTCATTGGATGGAGGTTTCATATCTAATGGACCCTCGATATAATACTTTCCAATACAGTCCATAAATAGAGGTTATAAGAACAGAAAGACTATTATAAAAAAAAAATTGAGATACATGAAAGATGCCGGTCATGTCAGAGCTGCAGTTCTGCTTGACTGACCTGGGACAGACCTACCATAGCATGAGCGTCCCCAATTTATCTTGAGCATTTCCGGAACAGCTACAGACACAGAGTACAGTATATGGTAGTCGGTCAATCCAACCCGTTGACCCAACCCTCTATCAACTCATCCTCCTGTTAACTAAATCCCTGTCAGTCCAACCATCAATTCAACCCCCTCTGTCTTTTAGGTATAGAAAAGTAATAAAGGTGTTGAAGCTGTTTAACGTTTATCTCCTCCTCTCCTTCCAAATACAAAGCACTACTGAAGTCATAAATTGATGGCCAGCAGCACTGTAGTACACCAAAATGAGTGATGTGTGTTGACTCATTTAATAAATCCAATCTCAGACATACACTTTGAACACCTTCTCCCTCAAATCTTTTACACATTTTTATTCTTTACTCAAGTGATTATCTTAATTAATACATTCTTTTTGTTCTTTAAAACTGTTGTTTTCACTTTCTTCTTACCTGTACTTCTAAAACTTATACCTTCACAGTCTAGAGAAACACTGCAACAAGCTCTCCGTCAAGCAACTTTCCTGTACAGTACATGCCATGGTTTAACATTTCCTCTTTCACCAGGACTGTTAAAGAGAGAATTCTTTTCTCACTGAAGTTATATATTTCCCACAGTGGTTATATTTACTCACCAATTTCTGGTCATCAAATACGGGCAGTGTTGAGTCTTGATTGTATACACAGAAGTTATAATGCAAATAAACTTGGGCAGCATTCACCCCGTCCTCATTCAAGAGTGATTCTGTCATTGTATCTTCTTCCACTGACCACACCTTGGAATGTTGTTTAGTATCAACTAATGGCAGTGCCTGAGGAAAATAACAGGAATATAAGACATTATTATATGGTAATAATGTAAGCATTATAAATGACTGATCACAATACAGTATAACTTTTGAATCATTTAGTGCAACTTATATAAATTTATTTCTCGTATACCCGGAGAACTTTACCCTACACCTGCCTTGTACTGTAGGTCCTTAGTACTGTATCACCAAGTATAGCAGGATATATTTTTGATGATCCTCACTAATTTATCGATAAAGATATTATATATGCACCTCTTTGGAATTCATTGTCCTTCAGTTTTAAAGACCTACAAAACATTGGCTGCCACATAAATGGAGAATTCATCCTGATATCTTATTTTCTGGGTACTGGTAAATTGTAATAAGGCAGCTACTGTTCCTGCACTAGCCAGGTGTGGGGGCTTGGTTATCCTTCCATGTCCCTAACTGACAACTGGGAGTATACTAACACTAATTTTGATGGCCACAACTGGGCTAACTGAAATTTTGAGCACTGGAAGTTACAACATCCCAATTTAACTCTTCTGAGGTCCACACCGCCCTTAGGTATGTTATTCTGTCTGACACCAGACAATTTTATTCAACTGAGATAAACTCCTGCCCTCTAAAGGGTTACATCACATGATGTCTTAAGAGTATGAACATACACTTACGCAGTAAAAGTAAATATAATCTCAACAAGAAGCTCATAATTTAAAAGTTGTAACTAACCTCAAACTCTTTCTTGTACTTGGCAGCATAATCCTGACCGTGTTTACGATCCATGTAGGCAGACGTGTCAATGAAAGAACAGGAATCCTGTTCAGTTTCAGGCACTTGGAGCCCCTTACCATCAGTCTGGCTCTTTGGAAGTACCACCTGTTATGGGTACAACCAAGAACATTACATTCACAAGCTTCTCAAAACAGCCAACAATGGAAACCCTAAACTGATGTCACCCACAGTTCTGTATAGTGTATTGGCAGCCTTGCCTTACAGGGGCTTAGTCCACCCCTAGATACAGTCCAGTAAAGTATAGCCAGAGTGAATAGCTCTATACTGTATTACAGCACCTCTAACACAACTCGTATCTCCTGACAGAGGATCAGTGCACCAGAGTGCCGCTCCAGCACCTCCATTCATCATGGGAAATGTTTTACCACACATACAGCTTGACAGTAAAATCAAACATTTCCAGATCAAAATATCATAATTACCATAAATCATAAAAATATGATAATACAGTACAAACATTTAAGTAATACTGTTCAGTAATTATGTATTTTTTTTTTTGCATACGTATGTATAAATCTATATTGGATGCGTGAGTGTTGACACTCGCATGTCCACTTCCAGTCCAGTAGTCATTCCCTCACAATGCAGGACTGTAACAGTCACAGTTGCGCATCTAGTAGATTAATACCCACACTCATTCATATTATGCCGTCGTCCATAAATCTAAAGTTCCGCCCAGATGTGATATATGCCTACCAAAAGCTGAAACATTCAAGATTGATTATGAGTATGTTAAAGGCTTCAACTGTATTTAAGTGTAGTGAAAGTTATACTAAGACGATATGTTTCAGTTACCTACAATCCTTGTTTTGCCTCTCGTGAACATACAAGACATCAATCCAAAACAGAAGTTATAGTTCCTTGATTTACAGTCACTGGAGAATCTGATGACTATATTGAAATTGTCATTTTTGTAATAAAGAAACTCAATAATTTTTTAGTTCAAACCTTTCAACCAACAAAATCTCTGAGTCCCTGTGAATAAGCCTCTGTTACTTTTGGCCGACTCCCTCAAACACTGATTACATTATAAACGTTAACCTTACAAAAAGTAATGTAGAGCCACAGCACTAATTTTCATAGAACAATGTGTACAATATCTGGGACTGATAATATTTCCATAAAAAGCCTGACTGCGTAGTCCTTGGTGTATATAATGTGAGACAGCCAGAAGTACCATGACTGACTGTGATCTCCTTCATGTACCAGGTATGTTACTTGTGACCATCATATTAAGTGAATCTGACTTAGTTGTGCTTACTTTGAGTATACAAGTACAGTAATCCTGTAACATAACTCACCGTCTTATCTATGGTGGCCATTTCCAAATTTTCAAAAAGGAGGACTTTTTTCTTCTTTTTTTTTTTGGCGACACCTATTTTTTGACCTAAATTAAGCATGTTTAATGATGAGTTGAAAATATATAAATGGTTGTATAAAATATACAAAATATACTTTGAAGAATTGTTGATTTGTCAAATATCACTACAATGTGATGAATGCTATTTTGTGGTAATATTTCTAAAATTTATTTATTTTTTAAACGCACTCTATATATCACATACATGCATTTATACAGTATAAATAAAGAACTGAAAGAAATGAGTTAAAATTTTTACTCCTGCTGAAACAGCATATGCTAACCAAATTGAAGCAAGAACAAAAAAGTCAACCACTCTCCACTGCGGCCTTGGGTAGACTGACTATCTCGGACCATAAGACGTGTTTACTGTCGACAACTTGACTCTTACTGTCGTACACTGAGGCTCATCAACAGTGTTGACAACGACAACTACATATAATAAAAATATGTTAAAGGTTATTACGGCCTTCAGTTCCCGCTGTTTTAAGTATACCTAAGGTAATCTATATAATTCTTTTTAGTTAAACAACAAAAAGGAGGACGAATTAACGTCCAGCTCGAGGTAGCGCCGGACAGAGGACAGAGTGCTCAAAAGCCGGACGTCTGGCCACCCTAGTCTTATCATGTGTTAAGTGGTCATGCTCCATTCATTTCCTTGCACAAGATGTATTGTGTGACATTTGTATTTTAACCAGCTGCAGGCAGGATGTCTGTGCAACAAAAAATCACATGATTCATATTATGCTCAATAGCCCATAAAACATGTAGCCATAACTTATTTCTCAAGTCCCCCATTGAGACGTCTGTTTAAGAAAGTTAAGAAATCTCATGTTTATGTTTGTATATTTTAAATTATAAATGATTGCTGAAAGCTTCAACCATATTTACTTTTAGTAAAATTGTTAAGTAAGTTGAGTGTTCGAGTTTGCAATAGAGGTGAGAATCTTTTCTCTGCCCTGTGAGAAGCTACGAGATACCTACTCACCACTGAAGTCATAAGAGACACTGAAAGAAATACAGTATACCGAGTGTGAGCTCTTTCAAAACCAAACTTGATCAACACTGCAGCGGGTTCAGGTACAATCAGGAGCCAGTGCATGCCCAGTACTTGCCAACATTTTTAACAAATAATCATAATGCCTTTAGTGCTATTATTACCACTGCCGTATCTACTTTTTATTCTCCCTAATACAGTGGTCCCTCAGTTAACGAACACAATCCGTTCCAGCAGGTTGTTCGTTAACCGAAACCATTGTTTCAATGGGTTTTTGGGTAATTGGTTCCAGCTCACCGAAAATTGCCTAAATTCAACAAAATTGGTAGAAAAGTTCACTTACTTTGAGGTGTGTATGTAGAAGGCTCCTGGATGATGGTGATGATGATGATGGGAATTAGAATGGGGGTGGAGGAGAAGGAAGAAGAGAAGGCATTGGGGTGGAAGAGAAGTCACCCCATGGCACCATTTCACCCATAAAATATTAGTTCTCTTGGTGTATTTCAAGATTATTTTCGTTAAATCAACACTGCACTGCATTATATATTGTCAATATGTATAATATATTTCAAAATGACCAATAATTTGCTTGGAAACACAGAAAAAAAGCATTTAGTTGAAGAGAGTCTCAAGCAAGATGTTACCTCCAGTGAAAACAGAGAGAGACTAACGCCTGTTTGCTGTGTTAAGAGGCTGGATGCCGCGCATTAAACTAGTCACTTTACCTTCAATTATGTTCAATAATTGTTAAAATGACTAAAAAATTGAATATTAAACTTTTAAAATTATTGAATAGTATGAACTTCTTGATATTTACTAAAATAGTAAGGAATTTAAGCCCTAGAACCGATTAATGTATTAGCGGACTAATACTAAAGCTGGTTGACCGGCCAGTGCAAGCGAAAACATGTTGAGGTCGGTTCGTAAGAAATTCGTTACCCGAATTTTTGTTCGTTAACCGAATTTAAGAATCTTATGGGAGGCAGTTCGTTAACCGAAATTTCGTTAACCGAGGCATTCGTTAACCGAGGGACCACTGTACTGTAATTTAAGAACATAAGAATGGAAGAAACCGCAGTGGGGCTATTGGCCCATACTGGGCAGTCCCATTTACACCCAACCCGCATTGCTCATATATCCATCCAACCTATGTTTGAAGCTATCCAGTAAATTCGAGTTAATAATGATGTTTGGTAACTTGTTCCACTCATCCACTACTCTATTGCTATAAAAGAATATACTGTACACCCACCTCTCATTTTACGCGGGGGTCACGTTCTTGAAAATCGCCGCTTAATTAAAAGATGCGTAAATTAAACAAAATTTTCCCATAAGAATACATGTAAATGGTACAGGTTAGGGGAACCATCACACACCGCACAGGGAATGAACAGTGCTCTCACTTAAACCAAGCACGCGGCCAACCTCCGACACACGATCTCCTCTCTGAAGGCGGGTGATCACATTTAATTTCACGTCCACTGCGATTGTTTATCATGCCTTTTTAGCTTTAGGCGCCCCAAAGGAGGTAGACGGACACTTTCCAGACATGCTCAATGGGGGAAAACAGAGTTTAACACTAAAAAGGTAAGTGATAAATACACAGTGCAAATGAGAGCACAGAGAAAAAGTAGTGCTGGTGTGACCTGAGAAAGTGATATACGGGAAGCTTGCTGGACGTCATCACAGTTGTTGCACTTCATTATCATCATTATCTTCATCATTAGCAGAAATAATCTTTATTATTACATTATTATAATAATAATTATTATTAACAATAATATTTAAATCCTTGATGTTGATATGACTGCGACTTTATAGTAATAACTTACAACCACCTCACCAGGCATCACACGAGACTCCACTGCCAGGCGAATACGCGCGGCAAATTTAAACTGTCTTGAGCGCGTTATTTAAAAAATAGGTGCTTGTAAATTAGCTTTTAGTATTAATTGATTAATCACGTTATTCCAAAAAACACTTACATCAAACGCATGTAAAACCCGAGTTGCCGGGTACCTGTATATATATAAAACAAAAAATAATAATAAATAAATCAAGTTAAATAAGATAAACTTAAAAAACACTAAACTACACACAGAAAATGAAAGAAAATAAAACTTACATACATAAAGAAATAATTTATACAAAAATGAGGAATGCATAATAAAGAACATAGAAAAAACATCTTTTCACTCCTCCATTGGTGTTACAGTGACGGGATCAACTACAACATAACAAAATACCCCCTCCCCCCTTCCAGGACCAGTGACTTGGACTGTGTCTGAGCCCCCGTTTATTTGCTAGTACAGTACTTGGTAGCTTATCTGACCTAATAATTACACTAAGGCTTCAAACAAATCACAATGACTTCCTTCTAACACCAAGACCATCATTTATAACAATAACAATCTTTCAACCTGTGTAAATAATTCAAGCACCATAAAAAGCTTAAGGGTATTATAACAGGAGGTGGGACACTGTACTAAAACACATACCAGAGAGACAGGTGCTGTGTGGTATAGTACAGTACTTACCTTCTCAAACTCAACACCATTAAACCAGTTGAGGTAGTCTTCAGCAGTTCCATGGAATTTACTTAGAGGCATTTCAGCCATCTGTAAATGGAAATGATTGTCAGTTTCTTGAGTGGTGGACAATAAAATGGTTCAATGTGTTGTGACCATACTTCTCAATACTTACCGGGTAATAACTATTATTTAAGTGTGTGAGGTTGAGTCCCATTGTCATAACTGCCCATCAGGAACAGTTTGGACATAGCATACTATAAACTAAGCCTTCAGTAGGCATGGAGGCAGCACAGATGGCACAGCACTGCACTTAATTGCCTCAACTAGTACAGTTACTGTAGATACATGTATACTGCAGAGTGAACCGTACACAGCTAGAGATCAAACACTTGGGCCAGGTGGTGAGAGCTCTGTCTACTGCATCACCACACCCCTTATTTAAATATACAGTACAGTTCAGTAGTCAATTACATTTTACATCTATCAATTTTACCTCTTGCCAGCTTCCTAGCCAGTGAGACAGTGAGTTTTCATTGTTAGCAGGCACTTGAATGAACCTGAACATGTGCTCCTACTCCAAAGAAGTTAACTCTTGAGTTTTCTGTACTGATAGTTTCTTTAACTTGTGACCTCGAGAAGTGCAGCCTCCCACTTACTTCGGATATAAACTGGAGTAATACCCTCTGAGGTACTTCTAAATTTATATCCCCTGCCTTTCTTTGAACTAATGGTAATTGAAGACTTTCTAATCTCACTTGGTAAATGAGGCATCCGAGTACAGGTGCCAGTAACAATTTAATGACCACACTTTTGACTTTATAAATAAATTTGCAATTCTTGGTGTATCCCTGAGACTAACATTTGTTAATGCTAATATTTTGTTTTCTCATTATTTTGTACTTATACTTGAACAAAAAAAAAAAAACATTGGCTAAGCTGTACCGTATATGTTTAAGCAGCCATTTATTAAAGATGACAATAACCAAATAACCCCAACCTTATCAAACAATCTTTAAATACTTTTTATTTAAGTTAGGTTATATTAGGTTTATTGGTTCATTTTACCACTTAAAATTCCTGAAGGGAGAAAACATAACAGAATACATCCATTACAATTTTGGGGTTGAATATGAGATGTTCTTGAGTTATGAGACCACTTGCCTTTTAAACAAAATACTGGTACAGTATCTATAACAGCTTTATACTGTACCTGCAATGTCCTTAGTTTAAGTGTAATGTATAAGAATAGTAAACTACAACACAGTATTACCAAATAAACAAAGAAGTCAAATACTGTAACTATACTGTACTGTAACAATAATAATATACTATATACGTAACCAGAATTAAATAAAATCATAGTTTACGATTGGTTTGGCATGTATACAGTACAGTTCCGTATAGACTATGCAGGTGTACAGGTTGTCCACATATGTGAAGTTACTCACCTCACAGGCAACACCACCACAGTGAGGGGGGTAGGGGTGGGGGCGGGGTGGGGGTGGGGGGGGTAGGGTGGGGGCGGGGGGTAAGGGTGGGGTGGGGGGTAAGGGTGGGGGGCGGGGGTATATGGGGCGGGGGGGGTATGGGTGGGGGGCGGAGGTAGGGTAGGGGGTGGGGGTGGAGGGTAGGGAAGGAGGGTAGGGTAGGGGTGGGGGTAGGGGCGGGGGGTAGGGGGTAGGGGGGTAGGGGTAAAGGGGGTAGGGGGCGGGGGGGTAGGGGTAGGGGCGGGGGGTAGGGGGGGGTGGGGACCAGCAACCTATAACACAAACACACAGTTGCTCCTTTACTTTCAAACCTTTCACCAAGACTTTAAGGGCCACCAACAAACCTGTTTATATGTTTAATTCACTAGTTATACATTAAATTGACTTCTTACACATTAAAATAGTATTAAATGCTCTGGTAACATAAATATCATAAAAAAAAAATCACAAATATGATGCACAATTTCAGCCATGTAAACCCCGCCTTGCCGAGTGATGTCACTGAAAACTTTTAATATTTTTCTTTTCTCTTTACGATATTTATGTTATCATAGCTTTTTACTTACTAACTTTTGCTTCCCATGTGTGGAAATTATCTGAAGACAACATCAAGCATGGATCAGGCCACCATATCATTTTACTGCCGCGACAGACAAAGTAGTTCCGCTAGTACGAGCCTTGGGGCCTAATTATCTACCAAACGAAGCATTTGCCAAAGAAATTAAATTTTACATCCGAACTCAGCGATGAAAATATACTGTAAGAAAATTATCCATCAAAACTTACGGTGTGACGGGTGTGTCGTCAATATTAACCGAAATTAGACCAAGGACAGCTGCCACGGTCATCACACGCTTACATCCTGCTACACTAGGTTAGTTTGGTTAGGTTAGGTTAGTTAGGTTAGTTTGATTAGGTTAGATTTTGGTTGGGTTAGGTGAAAATTATGTTTTTCTGATGGTTTTTGAGTTTTTGAATGATTCTGACCTTTATTTCAAATAGATGGATGACCAAAACGACAATTTTACCTAAAAAAAGAAAGGTATAGTCAACTGCGGGTCAGTCGTCAATAATTATGGTAAATTTGCTTCTAATTGCCTGACTCAACCTGATCTAATCTACCCTCACCTAACCAAATAAATATATAAATATAATAAAGGTATGGGTCAATTAAAAGCAATAATACCATATTACTGTACTATATACGAGTACATTTTTAAGTGTAAATGGCTCAGATGCAGATTAGACACCCCAGATTACTTCAATTGCCGATTTAACACACTGATGCTACCTAGAGGGGATGGGTCTACAATAATTTCTACGTTATTGTCATTAAATGTTTATTATGTGCGTTCATGAACCGCTATTAATAATTCCCCAACAAAACAACTCACACACGTCAGCTCCAACAACCACAAGTTAAAATTACTCCCCTTAACAAATCTTCCAATGGCCGATTTCCTTTGGTTTAGTCACACTATCACTCAATGACGAGGGTAGTGTGGTGACCTGAAAGGCGGCCACCATGGTAACACAGGTAAGTGGTCAACTCATTACACAAAGTGTACACTGAGGGCCATTTAAATGGCCACTCGAAGTCTGGAAAATAGTAACTTTATATACAGTATACTCATGAAAGTCACTTGTGAAATTGGACCCTAACCAATTTACGTAGGAGGAACTTTCTCCACAAACCTTGAAATTTCATTAAGAGAGACACGCCGCCCGCCACGCCACGCGTGTCTTGGAAACTCAACTTTCCAACATGGCAGCAATTCTGTTCGATCATTATTTACAGAAAACTTCATATACTGTACGGTAATGAGTCACTGAAACTTTATAAACACTGTCGTATTTAAAATAAATTTTACTATAATTAAGAATTCATTTTATTACGTTTAATCGATGTTTTATAATTGTATTTGTAATTAATTGACAAATAAGATACGACGAAGCCACAGCCAAAGTTAGAAGGTGTTCGTGATGATACATTTAACTCTAGATATAATGGAGACAAAATATTGTTGATAAAGTTATTCTTAATTATTTATTACAGGTTTATAAAATACAAAGCTTTCCTATGTCAGGATAAGACTTGTTTTCTACTAGTTTAGGTATAAAGTAAAACATGCGTTTCAAAATAATTTTTTGTTTTACGTGTATCATAATATCCAAACTTATCACATATGCTATCCTTTATCTCACAAAAATATTTAGATGTGATTAATGTGAATTCTTGAAACTTAATTTAATCTATGTTGATGTAAAATGTTGATGTCTTCTAGAATCGCATGTGTTGATGGCAGTGTGTGTGTGGCAGCGGCGAGAGGTGAGTGAGGCTCCTACCCTCCCAGCCCTCAGTGATGATGTGGCGCTTCCTTCTCTTATATTCCCTCTGTATCGTGTTCCAGCCCACAAATGGCTACGTCGAGGACTACTACTGCGGCGAAAATAACTGTTATGATCGTAAGTAGAAGGAATCATGTGTGACTAACGGGATCTCTAACCCCCCCTCCCTCACAGCTTCCCGGAGTTACATGGTTACCTTATGTCATCTGGTGGTTGTTGACCTCTCCTATAGTACCAGCTGGTGTTACTTCACTACATCTGGTGGTTGTTGACCTCTCCTATAGTACCAGCTGGTGTTACTTCACTACATCTGGTACACCCACGTCACCTACCCTCGCCACACCTAGGATAAACTCTTAATATCTCATGTTCTTATCAGTATAAAAGAGGCGACATATTTACAAGAACCAGATCTAACCAACCAATGAAACCTACCTAACCTTACCTAACCTACCTAACCTTACCTAACCTACCTAACCTTACCTAACCTACCTAACCTAACCTACCTAACCTACCTTACCTAACCTTACCTAACCTACCTTACCTAACCTACCTAACCTTACCTAACCTACCTAACCTAACCTACCTAACCTTACCTAACCTACCTAACCTTACCTAACTTCCTAGCCAGGGGGGCGAACACTCCTTCATATGAAACAAAGTATACTTAGCCAATTAGCTCACTCACGGTAAAATAGCGTTAGTAGGAACATAACCGGTCACGGCAAAATATCCACAATAAAATTTGAATGATTAAGGATTATTATTATTTATTTTACTTCCAGCAATGGGCAGATGGGTAAAGGAATTGATGAGGTTAATAAGTGGACATTAATTTTATTTTTACAGATGTTAACAGAAGACAATAACTGTATTATGTTAGGTTAGGTTTGGTACACTTTATGAACTAATAATCCAGTTGGTGGTTCAGGAGCTCTACCTTGTACAGTATTACCAGGAATATTGGTTACAGTATTCATGTGGGTTTGGCTTTGTCTGAAACTTGGCTGACTTGCTTACATTTTATCATCAGTTCTTAAGATCAGTATGGTAGTTCAGTCTTTTATCATCGTGGTGGTTGCAGTGTCACACATTTCTAAAACAAGTCAAGTGAAGAAATCAGACAACCCTAACCTAACAGAGAGCTTATAATGTGTGTGTTTTTTGCATATTTTAAAAGATTTCAATTATTTTCATCAGTCTATAAAACCCAAAGTTCAAAACAACATTTCTTGTACGTTAATTGTGAGGTAAAATACACCTAATGAGTTACTGTACAATTATCAGGTTTTAAATGATTACACACAAACTATCAATGGGGAGTGCCTCGTTTGATATACTATACATACCAACCATATTTTGAGATACAGCAAGTACAGTACTTCTGTAATTACAAAATCCAGATTATACTGTAATTACCAGTACTGTGGCTTTAGTGTATTGAGCGATACTGTAGGGAGACTCGCGGGGCTGCTGGCTGGCTTCACCGACCAAAGTGAAATTTTTGTTAAGGGGCGAATGTAATTATCACAGAAAATAAAGCCATTGTGTTGAAACTCTTATGGCTGTGTTCTTTATGTCTTGCTTTATTGAGTAGATTTTTTCCCAACAGCAGGAAGGACAAAGTGTGGCAGTTTCCAGTTAATATATATCCTACAGATTAATGGTGGTATTTTTCAACTTTTCCTCAGACTTGTCAACACAAATACAATACTGTAGCTCAGTTCACTATCAGATTTCAGCAGATGATGTTTACCACAGAGGAAGCTGCTCTCTAATTGTTGCCAGTGTCCACTGTTGGTTGTAATAACATATTGTACTATTACAGTAATATGTAGTACAGTACTATATTAATGAATACAATATCATAGATACTGTACATAATAATGGGGATTAAAGACAAAAGGTGGCTAATCAAAGAAAAATTGGACTGTTTAAATGAAATGTGACTTTATTTTTAATTTTAAAATATTAAAGTGTTCTCTCATTGTTTGGTAGGTCTCAGTTAACTCCCTAATAATTGATCATTGGTGCATGATGTTGATGCTACTGCTCAAAACTGAACAGCTGGTCTGAACTAGTATACACACACACACTGTTCTCTATGCACAGATCAAGTTTGTGCATAATACACCTCCTTATTATTGTACAGTACTGTACAGTACTTGATAGATATTTTTTATATAAATAACTACTGTAGTATTTTACAAATTCAGAACTTCCCATTACATATAAGTACGGTACTTTCCATCAAGTTGCCTTCCTATTTACCATTGTTGTTTACCTACACTGTCTAGGCACACAGGAAACTGTATACTCCCACAGCATACCTGCACTGTGTACCTACAACTTCTGTATTCATGCTGAACTGTACAACAGCATAATTTATAAACATGCCTATCCAATTGTAAATCTGTATAACAATTTTACTGAATAAATATTATTATTATTATTCCAGTCCTTGAGATAACCCGCGATGCGACGAAACAAGAAGTTAAGCGAGCCTTCCGGGCGGTTGCCTCTAAAACCCACCCTGACAAGTTCCAAGATCCCGAGGAAAAGAAAATTGCAGAAGAGCGATTCCGGATATTGTCTACAGCGTGAGTACAGTATTTTGTCTCCTCTGAGGTCTGATGTTAGCCATTTCCTGCCCTTGTGAAAGTAAACACCATCTATTATATATATATATTGGCTTTATTACACAAAAGGTCTTCCATTATTTATTATTGTTTTTTTGTTTTGTTTTTACAAGGGTCTAAACTTGTATACAGTATTCACCTCTTCATCTATGTCCCTGCCATAACTCTTGAATGGAAATGATGGTTTGATCTTAGTGTTAGTGCGAGATATTGTCTGCTGTGTGATAGACTGAACCAACTGTACTTTGATATGTCACATCTTTGATCTTTCACCAGGGGAAGATATCAAACCTCTCCATATAATATAGGAGAAATTTTGTGTTATGTTGTCCTGTTATCTGTGTTTCTTGATCTCCGTTGGGCAGGTATGACATTCTACGAGACGATGAAGCCCGAGAAGATTACGATTATATGTTGGACCATCCAGAACAGTTCTACCAGAATGTATACCGAGCGTGGCGCAGACGCATGGCCCCCCACGTTGACGTCAGAATCGTTTTGGCGGCGACCATATCCCTTATATCATTAGTACAGTATTATAATGGTTGGATGAAGTAAGTGTATATATAGTTATTTTATTGTTCATGTGAGACAGTGTTACAGTAATATGCTTTTTGATGGCTTGAAAAATAACTTGGCATCGATGTTCTCATCCTGTTTGTGTTTTTTGTGTACGTATGACTTAAAACTTTTTACATATAAAACACACAGAACCTCCTGGTGTACATGAATTAATAATCCTTTTTGTGAATGATGTGAAGAATGTTTACAGCTTGTGTTGATACTTCACGGTAAACATTATTTCCAGATATCAAGAAGCCATCAAGTATTTTGCTGTAGTACCAAAATACCGTCTACAGGCGGTAGAGTTAGCCAAGCAGGAGGGTTTGCTTATAACTGACAAGAAGAAGTTAAAAGGAATGTCGAAAGAGCAAATTAAAGAACGGGAGGAAAAAATAATTCGTCAGGTCATCGAGCGAAAGATGGATATTCGTGGGGTGTACGCTAAGCCCACTTACAAGTACGTTAATTAGTGAGTTTTCAGCATGTGGTAGAGTAATTAGGTGGATCACTTGAAGATTAGGCACCCTTGATGATTTCACCTGATGATTAGACACCCAGATAGCTTGAAGGTGTTTAATCATCAGGTGAGTTGAGGTGCAATGCCTATTCTGCTTGGCCTTGTTTTAATCACTGGGCATAAATATGGCAGTTAAACATAAGTGTATTTAGTCTTATTTAGTACAGTAGTTCCTTTGCCACTTGAGAATTCTTGTTTGCTTGATGAACTGCCACAGAAGTTCACACACACACCCACCATTTTCTTATCCTGATTAATGTCTTATAGTATGTCATTTATTTTTCTCTGTTTTTCATTTCTTATTTCTCTCTCTCTCTCTCTCTCTCTCTCATTTCTTATTTCTCTCTCTCTCATATGCTATTTCTCTCTCTGTTTTTCATTTCCTATTTCTCTCTCTATTTTTCATTTCTTATTTTGTTTCCTCTAGGGATATTCTGTGGATACAACTCGTGTTCCTCCCGTACTGGATCGTGAAGTACATATCCTGGTACTTACGCTGGGTGTGGAAGTTCTGGATCCTGAAGGAGGAGTACGGTGAGGAGGAGAAGATGTATATAATTCGCAAGTTCATGGGCCTCAGTCATGGACAATTTGAAGTAAGTTCTTTTATTACATTGATTTCAGTTCTTTATACCACCTTCTGAAAGTGTGAGGGCATATAACAATGTAACACTGTCTGTTTTGGATAATTTTAGCTTCCTTTCCATAATTTTCTTCAGATTCTGTACAGTATATAGTATTGTGTAAGGAACCTACTGGATATAAACATCTGATGGCTTTGTTGGCTATCCTTATTCAAATGTCCTTTTTATTTGTACAGTCAAAGAAAAGTCACGTTACACTTACCGTGTCTCATGTTCTGAAACCCACGGCAAAGAATTATGGTAAAGTTCCCTGTTCAGAGTCAAACCTCGATGCTTCGCTGTCACGACCCAAATTCTTCATAATGGGCTGCAGAACATTACGCTGGGGAGTGTAACACGACTTATTTCTTCGACTGTACATTGGAAATTGTATACCTGCATTGTCTATATATTGTATTTGTCAAACCAGTTGTAATTTATCTGATAATTTTACTCAAAAATATTAGTTAATGTTAGTGTTATTATTATTGGAATTGTTGGATGTGTTAAGAGGCGAAGTTATTTTACTCTTCGTCATTTTCAGTTTACTCCTCCACCCATTATCAGATGAAGTATCATGAAATATTTTGTCAAAGTTGTTGGGATGGGCAACTATAATTTTAGTGAATCCAGTAATGAAAAAAATAAACATAGAATTAATGTGTTTAAACAAGAACTTCTTTGCAATTTATCATTATCGCCATCATCTCTCTCTCCCTAGAACTTAGAAGAAAATATAAAAGCAGATTACTTGAAACGAGAATTATGGAATAAAGATAAATATAATGAATGGAAGGCTGATCGTGATGCAGAGATGAAGGTGAAGATGGCCCAGTCTGGTCGGTACAAGTCATATCGTCGTTACATGAAGGCTAACGGACCCGGTCGTATGTACTTCGACGACTCCTAAGTTCAATAAGGTGCAATATTCTATTATATGAATATGGATAGCTTTACTAAGTAATGATAAAAGCATACATGAGCCTTGCAGTAGGCTTTTATGATGCACTTAAACTGTGTTGTGTATGGTAGTTCATGCTGTAGATTTATTATACTGTATATCAGTACAGTATATAAAGATATTGATCATACAGGATATATTCTTAGTGATAAGACAGGTGTATATTTGAACCCAATATAAAGCTGTGTTGTGGAATGATTAGAGCTTTTCCAGCATAGTAAGTTGCATAAACATGAAGAAATTTGAGCTTACAGTATTTTCATAACCTAATACCTGGCTGGGGCAATTCACATGTTACAGTACAGTACAAGCCAAAGTCTGTGGGTAAAAAATTAAGTTCTCTCAACAATGGTGGCTGTAACTAACAAGGTTAGTTTCTGTGGTCAGGGAATTGGAAATGTTTTCACCATTCTGTCCAAGCATTACATATCTCTTAATAAGCAACCAGAGCTCATCTTATGTGTTTGTTTAAGTCGTTAAACTCACTCAACTGGGCTGCTTTCCTTGAACACCTAATCCAGGGGGCATTGTCTCTAGCGACTTTCCTGTAGAGACCCAGATATTGGCTGTCCCACGTTATTCAGTGCCCAAGCTTTTACCTGGTGGCTCACTTATGCCTTCCTCTCATTGTCTGACACGGAGATGGACTGGAAGTGAGGGTTGATCTTATGAAATGACAGTTTGTGACTTACACAAATGAGTGACAAAGCATATTGCTAGTGTAATGAGAGGACTCAATCTTTTTACCTTAAACAGCAGCTGATGCCTCTAAGACCACTATCTTAAGAGCTATGTTAACAACAGAAAGGTTTCAACAATGGTAATATTTCAGTTAGTTTTAGCCAACATTGTTGAAAAACCTTGATTTTGAACCTATAAACATTGGCTAATGATACATGAATTGCCCAGTCCAGATACATCTGTAAACTGGGATTTGAGAATCAATACCTCATTTTATAACCTAATGCCTTTCAAAAACAAGTCATGAATATACCCACTAAGCTTCCAAGCTTTGGAATCCAGGGAAGCCATAATATAAGTGGCTGTTGCTAATTGGGCAATCAGCCCGGCTCCCCTGAGTAGTCTTTGCCCATACAAAGGGGTCTGAGTAAATAAATATTTCTGTTGGGGCTTGGAACTAACACTCTGTGAAATAGTAGGTGCTGCCTTTTCTTTTTGTCGGACTTGATCATACAGCGAGAGACAGAACCAGCATCACAATCGTCCTACTCTTGGCTGCCATATTTCAGAAGCTAAGTACTGTACCAAATCTGTTTCCTTTCACAAGGGTTACTGGTTTGTGCAAGGGGGCATCCCAGGTCAACCAAACTGTGAATAAGTACAATCAGCCTCAGAAGGGATGTCATGGTTTCAGTATGATTCATTCAAATAGCAGTATCTGGCAACTTTGTGGAGCTGAGCGAGTGACTTAGACAACACAGTGAAGGTTAGGTAACTATTTTACAGTTTGTTACTCACGGAAAGTTGTCCCCTCCAAGGTGCCCATCATAAAGTACTTTCCACCTCCCCGCTCTCTGTAGCTGGTTTCTGCACTTACAGGCCACTTTTGACAGTCATTAGAATATGTATGAGGTATTGATTATAATTCCCATATTATAATCAAGTCTGGGAAGAACGATGTAGTTCCCCGCCTCTTCCCTTTGGTGTTCAGTATTGGTAAGAAGGTTGAAGTTGGTTCTGCCTCCAGCCTTATGATTGAGCCTGCCGAGGATAGAACAAGCATCTCGTGCACTGTGCAGCTGTGATTGACAGTATCAACCTCTGACACTTTCTAAACTAAAGGCTAGGGCTGTAGTGGGCTTTCCTGGATTCCAAAGCCTGAAAATTTTTTTGGCATATTCACAAAATTTTCTCTCCATCTTCAGTTATAAAATAGGTTTGCAGAATCAATTACTAATTTTGTTTAACAGTCATAAGTTGTCTCAAGAGGCAAGCATCGACCCATGGTTATTTTGCACAAGACCGTGCCTCGGGCCAGAGTCACCGGTTATGTGTGTTGATCATTGTCAAGTGTCATATATACATCTCTGGTTATGAATTTTCCATCAGTTCATATACTGTATGTCATTTCATTATGTCTAATATTTAATAGTTTAATGTAGATCACCAGCATTGTTTGTACATTATAAAGGAAGAAGTTAAACTGCCACCAATAGTCATCCTCAAGTGCTTCATGGTACTGTACACAATTTTAGTAGTGATCATCAAGAACGCTGCAATATTTACAAATTTACTTATATACAAATGAAAATATCAACCTCTTTTATTTAGTAGTACTGCTTTAAAAGCAGTCATGGAGGAGATAGAAGGTGTGAATATAATGAAGGTTTTGAGAAGTTCCACTTACACTCTCATAACACTGGAAAAATTTAGTTTGATGTGAAGATTTATTGTTAGATTTTGTTCCTCTTGGCAGTGGAAGGCTTTCTACTTTTTTTGAAATTTTTGTTATGCACAAAATTGCATATTCAAGATTTTTCCGTTTTTTTATGTTTGTATTTCTGAGTGTGTGTGTTTGTGTACAATAACACAAGAAAATGCCTTCTATTGAAATTTAGTTCTCAAAATTTATTGGAACATCTCAATCCACGTTAATATTAAAGAACATTAAAGATGGAAACTGTCTTGATTATTGGCTCACCAAAATAGTTACCCATTACTGTATTTTGAAAATTAGCATGTTGATGATTATGGACCAGAAAAAAACCCTTTCTGGAGGTAAGAGTGAGAACTGGGGATTACCGAGTTGTAAAGTGGATATTTGCTCAATCCACCTTAAGCCTTCAGTTACTGTTTTATAATTCTACTTAAAATGTTCTTGATACCGGTATGTTTAGAATTATACCACATAATTTACAAAGATATACAGGATGGTGCATGATCTGTTTTACCGAGGAAATGTGTCTCGGTACAGCGACTCGTGTGCCCCCCTGCACAGTGTATGCAGATTTTATTTCTATCGGCAAATTTGTGGGGGAGTTGTGTGTGCTAAAAACTGTGGAAGGTTATTTTTGTACTTGTAATAGTGATGTTTATGTTTGTTTATTACAGGCATTTAAAATCCATATCCTGGGAAAGGGTGAATAATGTGCGTATCTTGGTATTCTTCCCCATATACTCTATACATCCTCAGGTGGAGAGTTATTCATTTTCAACTGTTTTTGCAATTATTGTTTCATTGGGGAATAAGGGGAAACCTTTGTAGGGGCAGATCCTGGGATATTCTAAGTGGGTTATCAAACGTTCATTGACAAATATATTGATGAGGATATGCAGTAAGCTTTTAGAGGCAGTTGTTAGCTGTCTGGTCCTTTATAGGAGTGTCAAGTAAAGGTAGGAAGGGGGTTTTATTTATCATATTACTGTACAGTGTTCCCTCTTTGTGCCAAGTTTGGTGGGTCTGAATTTATGATATTCAGAAAGATTTGTTGACTTGTGTAGGACAGAAGGAGAATTTGGATTTTTCTTGGTTCTTTTATTTTTTTTATTAAAACTACTCTGTACAAACTTTTTTTTTTTTTTTTTTTACATTAGGAGCATCATGTGTGATGTGAGGTCAAGAGTGGGTCTAATATTCAGGTGCAGTACTTCACAGGTTGAGAATATACAGGATGTCTCAAAAAAATGTCTTACAGGTTTTCCTGGAGAGCACGTGAATGCTTTATACAGTACTACAATGGTAACATTTTCATCATTTGTGGGAGACCTCACACGTCAATAAGTGAAGACAATACTGATGTTATGATACAATACAACCATTCGCACAATCTCCGCCAAAACCTGTATGGCAATGTGTATACATTTTTCCAGGACACTTGTGTACAGTACTTAAAGAACAATGGCATTACTACAAAGGGTAAAACCACACAATAATTTTTTTACTAAATACTGTAGTCCCCTTTGGTGAAGCAGATACACAATTACATTTCAGTACTTGTAAATCAGTCATCAATGCCTGTAATATTTTGTTATTCATTTCTTTAAAAACTGTTGTGTATTGCCACATTATCATATATTTACAATGGATTATATTCCTCAGTTATATCATGTTACAGCAGAAGTCCAAAAATCCGGACTGCTTGGGGATTGGGTCGGTCCGGATTTTCGGATTTTCCGGATTCTCAGGCAGTACTTTTAAAATTAAAATTTAAGGAGGAATAAAGAAGAGATGAACAGGTACATTTTGATAGTTTATTCATTAGCAAATAAAGCATGCTTCATTTGTCAAAACGAGCAGTTTTAAAGAAAAATAAAGTCAACACTAGACAAAAATGTAAACAAACTGTCTAATACCATGACGAGTCTTGAAATTCCTAAGCCATCCATCACTAAATGCGCACTCTGATTCAATGTTCATTTGTTCCTTAAAAGACTTTGCTTTGGCAATAAGCATCGGCCCAGAAATTGCCATACCTTCTGATCGTTTTAACAAAAACCATTCGTGCAACACTCAAGATTTTCTAATTTGGGCCAATGTAAACTTTTTCTTTCAGCAATTTTAATGTAAGGCTCAGAAGAAGCTGTGAATTCTAGAATTTTATTCTTTGCCTTTTTTATATCATAAATTGTAGACTTTCCAATGTTGTATGTTTCCATTAGAACAGCATTGCTCACATTACAATCTAGTTTCTTAATTATTTCAAGTTTGTGACTCAATTTCAATGTGTTCTTCTTTCTCTTCACACAACGAAGTTTATCTACTTTAGGGACCATTATTATGGGCTTGTACTCTGTACATGGAAAGAGTAGGACTCAAAATTACATACGTTGTCACAGTTTGATTGCTTGTTTTAAAGTGGCGATCGCGTGGTCGTTTGTTGTCGATGTGCAGCTGTGGCATACACACAAAAGATTTATAGTGCCTCAAATTTTACATTTCAGTTCAAGCTAATTACAAAACTAACAAAATTAGCTACCTATAATTTACAATTACTTTTATTATTAGAATTATGTAAATTAATTTTTTAAAGCAACTCCATTCATTCACACAACCCACAAAAGCCCTCTAAATTTAAAAAGTTTGAGTTTTTGAAAAGTCCGGATTCTCGGGTGGTCCGGATTCCTGGCATCCGGTTTTTTGGACTTTTACTGTATTGGGAAGGGAAACTTATACCTTGAAGAATACTTGCAAATCTCACTCAGTGTTTGTGTAGCAGTATTCATCGGTAACTATACGGTATGTGGTAATATCTGATGACGGAACTAAAGCTGACATTTCAGTTTTTAGTCCATTCTTTTAATTGGTTGTAGTAAAGTGCATCAGGTGAGGTGACCACTTCCATTCAATGACCAAGATTATAATATAAAATAATTCTCAATCACTTTGCATTATAATTTTTCTTTTATTATTAACTTTGCAAAGAAGATATATAGTACAGTAGTTTGTTTTGCCATAATCTCCTGGTGAAAGTTTTAATGTAACATAAATAATTTTTTAGTCTAATGGATGTTGTTATTTATTATGTTATAAAACTATTCATAGGAAATATATTTAGTTTCCATTCTTTTGGTAGATTATCCTGAAAATTTGTTTCACTTTCTTTGTTATCATTATTATATTTATATTATCCTTACCTTTATTGATATTATTTTATTTGTATTGTTATTATTACTCGATTATCATTTCTTGCATGCCAAAAATAAACTGAGGTAATGTTTTCAAAATTCAGCATTTGTGGACAGTATGAAGAACATTGAGGTGTAAAACCCCTTTAATCCTGTACAGCAAAAAAAAATTAAATAATTGACTAGATACTGTACTGCATATATACTGTACTATATTGTATGTATATTACAGGGTTGTCATGCTATGGTGTAAGGTCTGGTAATGTAGTACAGTAGGTTGTAAGATTCTCTTATAAAAATATTGTCTATTGATTATACTGGAATGGGTCTTGAGCTTAACGATTTGAGGGCAAGTGAACCAAGTGCTTAGGGAAGAGTCTTATTTATGGAGATGGAATTTCTTGGAGAAGGAAGATATAAAGTAAAGGACATATTCTAGCCAGTGTCAGTACAGTATTTGGGTTAGGTAAGACCTCTGTTCCAGAAAACCACTTGTAAATTGATCCTCCATTGATGCCTGTATTGTACAACTTCATGGTGTCTTTGTGGATGTCATATTGGAATTTACAGGCATCTTGGATTTACAAAAGGGTGAACTATCGTAAATCAATCCTTCATAAATTGAGTGATGGTAATATGTACTATATTGTAACTCCAAAAATGTTATTAACATTTAACATTCATTAAATTGGAACTATAAATGCTTAGATGAGTTGAAAGTTTGAAGACAATATGCTTTACTGTAAAAAAAATAAGGAATCCTACTGTAAAAAAATAATTGATGAATTAGACAAAGGAGTGAAATTGTAAGAATCGTCTGAATCTTTGTTTTCTCTCAGATACTGCCAAGGATTTACAATATCATAATGTATGGTCATAGAAATGTATACACACTCCAAAAAAGTATCTTTACAAAGAGGTCCGGTGAATTTTACAATGAAGACAGCAACTTGTGTTGTCTCTATAGGGTTGTCAGAATCCTTTGTCAGTTGTCTCTATAGGGTTGTCAGAATCCTTTGTCAGTTGTCTCTATAGGGTTGTCAGAATCCTTTGTCAGTTGTCTCTATAGGGTTGTCAGAATCCTTTGTCAGTTTTCTCTATAGGGTTGTCAGAATCCTTTGTCAGTTGTCTCTATAGGGTTGTCAGAATCCTTTGTCAGTTGTCTCTATAGGGTTGTCAGAATCCTTTGTCAGTTGTCTCTATAGGGTTGTCAGAATCCTTTGTCAGTTGTCTCTATAGGGTTGTCAGAATCCTTTGTCAGTTTTCTCTATAGGGTTGTCAGAATCCTTTGTCAGTTGTCATATTGTTTGACACAAAATCTTAAGGAAGGATACTGTTTGGAGAATGTATACATGTAATGGCTTAGATAAAAAAGAAATTCTAGATACAAAACAGATATTTGAGATATATGATATTAAGGTGTGCCTCAGTTGATAGAACAAGTTATTGATACTAAATACTGTAGTCTTTTACTTTGTGGTTGTTAGAGCCTCAAGAACAACATAAGCGTGATGGTTTTATAATTAAGTGTTGTTGTGTAATAAATAAGCAAAGGAAGTCTTGTATAAATAATTTACTTTGTTTATCAAGTTTACTTGTATTTGTTTGCTGTCAGTCATTGAGTTGTACACTTAAGAATATTCTGTGGCCATTTGTTTCACCCTAATCATATTCTGTATTTATGTTACACCATTTTTCTTTTCTTTTTAGCTCATTTTGTTCTCATAGTTTGAATATTTAGTTTAGTAACTCTATAATGGCAGCTATCATCAGTGGAAGTTAGCTATAAGGACAGCAGCCATCATTAGTGGAAATTAGCTTTAGGGACGGTGTCCATCATACGGCTAGTTGCCGAGTTATGTCATGGAAGCATTCCCAAAAAGTGGAATGTTATTCAGACGCTGTATTCTCAGGACACATTTTCAGCCACCCTAACTCTAACCTTTTCAGTGAACTTCATACAGTGGAGCCTTTCATTAGCACAAACCAGAGCAAACTACAGTACTAAGTTAAAGAGTTATCTGGCATGTTAAAGGGGTATATGACATAATTATTAAAGTACTGTACTGTCCAGGTTTTAAATAATGACATTTTCAGTCATCCTAAACCTAACTTTTCACTTGACTTCATACAGTAGAGCCTCTTGTTGTGCACAAACCAGAGCAAACTCTTGTACAAACCTTGTGTTATAATAGCATACTAAAGTTCTGTACAGGTTAAAAATAAATGACATGAGAATAAACATTTATTAAACAAATAAGAAAAATATATGTACAGTACAGTGGTCCCTCGGTTCACGAACGGTTCGATTAACGAAATTTCGGTAAACGAATTAGCTCCCATAAGGATTTTCAGTTCTATTAACGAACAAAACTTCAATCAACGAAATCATTACGACAAACATGTTTTGTTGTGCGCATCATCTGATCGGCCAGTCCGCTAATACAGTAATCAGTTTTATGTTTACATTTGTTTCCAGTGGAGTAAATATCAAGGAAGTTGGTCTCTTGAATATTTCTGCATTTTTTACATTAAAATTATTGGTCATTCTGAAATTTAGTTAACATACAGTATTGATAATATACAGTGCTGAAATTATTATGAAACTTGAAGAAGGCATTAGAACCAATGCACTCTGTAACGAATATGGCATGTCATCATCGACTGCCTCTACAATCGGCTGTTTGATATGTAAACAAAGCTGCCGGGAATACGACATACACACCTCAAAGTAAGTTAAAATATAGTATTCTATTGTTTTTTATTTATCATTGTACTGTATAGTACAGTACTGTATTTAGTTTATATTTAATGTTTTGTTAATTCTATTACTGGTATACAGTACTTTGTATGTATACTTTTTCTGTGAGTTGGAACCAATTACTCAAGATCCCATTGAAATAATAGATTCGGTTAACGAACGACTGTGAAACGAATTGTGTTCGTTAACAGAGGGACCAGTGTATGTAGTACTGTATATCACTAAACGGTGGACATCCCGAGTAGTGGCGGAGGTCCTGCCAGCTGATTGAAGCTGTGACGTTACTCACGAGGGGCTGCCCGATCGCCATCACTTGAATAATTAAATAAAAAAGACTTAAACTAACCAAGTATATCTAAAGGTACATCACTTTCCTCTGTTATGTCACTGTCAAGGTCATTCTCTTCCCCAGCCTATCTCTCCTCTGCCTTCCCAGGCACTGTCTCTCTCCAGACTCTGTATTTTCTGGATTTTCACGCCTAAACTAATGGAGAGATGGGATTTCTTGGGTACAGTACCAGTAGGATATTTTCCAGGCATGGTAATTTTGGGGAGGGAGCTAAAAAATAATCCACGGAGCAGCACCAGTTGTCACCAAGGCAGAGTGTGTGAAACCGAATTTTGGTGGGCTGGAAATGAATGGGCAAGGCGGTCGTTACACTGGTGTGCGCAAGATTAATGGTGCTATATCAGACTTCAGTAACTTATTCAAATATTGTTCCCCAATTATTAGACAATTTTATATCAGAATGACACTGTTTGGCTTGATGTAAATCAGTGAATGCTTGTAGTAGCTTAATAAGTCTGCTGATGTAATTTCCAACTTTATATTTTATACCTACGTAATTTTAATTTATTATTGTGGATGTAGACCTCACAATATATATATATATATATATATATATATATATATATATATATATATATATATATATATATATATATATATATATATATATATATATATATATATATATATATATATATATATATATTGTACAGTATATATGCATAGATAAGAGATCTTCATTTGTTTTTGTAGGTTTTTAGGTAAATATTCTGAGACAAAAGTGAATTATTGAAATGATTATATACTCAGGAACCAATGTCAAAGTTAGTTACACAGGTATTTAAACTCTCCTGCTAATCAAAGTACAGTACAGCAAAACCTTTCCATGGTATAACACTTGGTGTGCACAGTATTGAGGCCAAGTTAGCTTTTGCAGGTATTACTGAGTAGCTAATTGCTATCTCAAACACCTGTCAAAAGCAGCATGCCGGTAAACTATTGTTGAGTATTTCTGCTGTAGGGAGTTCAGGTGAATCAGGCAGCACTAGTTATAACATGGTACATGAACTTCCTCTCTCTGTCATGCAAAGTAAAGCGAGTCTTTTGGCCTTTATGCTTAAAAGACAGTGAATATGTTTTGGCATGGGGAATAAGTGCACTCATTACTGTAACAACTACAGTTCAGCTTTTTGTTAGTTTTATTACAGAACATTCAGAATGCTGAAGTTACAGCTTCTACAATACTGTACTGTAATCAGACACAATATGGCTGCTCTAATAGATTGTACAGTAGTTAATTTACATAATGTATAATTTCAATTGCAACTTTATAATGATCCTACAATAGTACGTATTAAGAAAAGTTTATCTTTGGGCACAATTATCACAAGAACTGAGAACATTTATTGATATACTACTGTAAGTGTTATGAGTGAGGTGTGGGTAGGATATTTACCCATGTTGAGCTGCAAAGCCTCTCACAGTTGCCAGACTGGTTTTGTTCCTTTCTTAAAGCTGTGCTGCACACCAAATGCAGCTCAAGAGACATTGTGGCTTTGAGAGATTTTACTGTATGTCTAGTCAGGGTATAACGTGGACCTTAGCCCAAGTTCCATTATTGTTTATAAAGTATAAATAGATATATACTGTATGTACAGTAGACATACCTGTTTGGACTTGTTTTGTTTTATTACAACTGTATTTAAAACTGAGTAGTACAAATAGATTCTTCCTTAAGCACCCCATTCACTGATATTCTCCATTCATGTCAAAGACCCAGCAACTGTGTTCAAGATAACTACCCAAGAATTCTGTGTAGCAGGTTGGCACTCCTGTAATTAATCAACTAATTTCACAAGATACAGTACTGTACTAAAACTTAGTCATACCATTGTGACCTTCCTCCAAGACCTGCTGGGGTGTGGTTACTGTGGCCTTCAACTTAATTCATATATGACCAAAATTTATTTGCTTTTACTGTCACATTTACCCGTTGAATATTAAAAAGTGTATTTTAAAGAACAGTATGTTGTTTAGAATCACAAAGCATGAATTAACTATACTGTGAGGAATGTTGCTAGAGTTTGAACACTTCTTGAACTGTTTCCTTATACTGGGTTTACCATTGTTAAGCCTTAAACAGTAGCCATCATCAGTGACTGTTTTGTGTTCCTTATTTCATAGTGTCCACCCACTCATTATAATGTTCTCTGTACTGTACTTGTAATTGAATTTATTTATTTTAATTGTTTTTTGTTGAAATTAAACCCTCAAACATGAGAATTTTATGGTGTTTATTAAAGACATGACTGTTCAGCTACATGATGGCTTGCTGTGAATTTTGTGTCATTATTGTTTACTAAATTGGGCCATATTTTTTAAGAATATTATAGTGAAGTGTATACGAATATATGGTGCTCATGAAATTACAGAGCATCCCATGTTTGTGTTGATGTAGATCTGACATTCACTATATTGTGTCCTTAGGAAGTATGTTGGAATTAAATCTTAACAGAATAAAAGGAATTTGCACTAATTGGATGCAAGGGCTGTGTACTGTTGTGGGGTGAAAGGGTTTACACTGTACTTAGAAAAAGACTGGTTGATCAGAGGAGTGAGTCTTGTTTTCTTCCTGATTTACACTTGTGTATTGCAAGGAATGAGTTGACTTTTTTTTTTTAAGAACTACTTATTGCCATTTCAAAATAGTGTATGTAAACATAGCCTATACGGGCTTCCAATATCCCAGACATAATCTGCAGTAGGTGGCATCTCAAGAGACTTGTAAGCATGTTGCCCAAGGTCTAACATTTGAAATTATTCTCAAAATTGATGTTGATTCTGATTCTCAAATGTTTATGAAACTTTAATTCTAACATCTATTTATTCTCCTGTAATTTTTGGATTAACCTTCAGAAATATTCCTTGTCACTGTTTAATAGTGGTACTATAAAGTTTCTGTAACTAGAGGGCACCATTAATTTGGTGAGTGAGGTGGCTAACGATCCTCTGCTGCAGACAATGTTTAATAGAATTTTCACTCACTGCAACTCTGGTTTTACTTTATCCTTTGTAATGTGTACAGTACTGTATTTGTACTTACTTGGTGGTTTTTTTATATTATTACTGCACCTCAACAATGAGGGTAGGCCCTTTTTAAGTGCATACCAAGGTCAGTAATTACACTAACCCATTAGCACCTAAAAGTTATAACAGATTAAGCCTTTTGCATGCTTAAAAAGAGGAAACCTGTAAGTGACCCAGATCCCACCCCTCTTCACCTTATTGGGGAAAGTTGTGAGTCACTATGATTGAGAATAATGAAGCAAATGTACCAGGTAACTCCCATAAGATTTCTCACTGGCTCCTGATGACTATAGTACAAATCTCAGGTTCACAGTTGGTAGTTAATAATTATACTTTGGCTGCCTAATAAGATCATTTTAAACAGTTGAATTACCACAGAGGGATGTTGTATGCTATATGTGTTGTGGTAAGTTCTGGCTAGTGGGGTATATCATTTATAGACATTTGTAAGAATATTTTATGATTGATTGAAAGAACTTATATAAATGTTCGTTATTATAATTCAAGATTTATTTTTTATTTACAGTTGCAGAGTTTGTGTAATTGTCTTTCATAAATATTGTTTAAATGCTTTTAAAATCATAAGTTACTTCGATAGAATTTATGTTTTGATATAATTTATATTCAAACATAAGTTCTAGAGAATTAAATTAACATGATTCCAAAAATGACGGCCCCTTCACTTCACTACAGGGATGTTACAAGTGTAGGTTTCTAAGTAGTTTCAATACGTATGCCCTGTCAATGTGTTACATTACCTGGGCTAAAAACACAAAATATACCACCACATGCACACACTCAACACTCCTCTTAACTCAGCCCAGATATATTGAGAGGCAATTCTTATATGATAATGGATATATGGGTAACTTGTTTCTATAGCCTTATATGTTATAATCTTAATCTTAACTGTTAGTATATAAATATGGATGTGTTTATATATCAGAACACATCTGGTAAGGTAGGAAAACAAATTAAATGAGAATGAATGATGGAGGCTTAGTGTTAGTACAGTACTTATTTTTGGCCTCCTTGTTCCATTGCAGGAAAGGTCTGGCCAGAGTAAAGTAACATCCCTATTGTGCTGTACTGAATATCACCCTTGCTCACTTGGCAATAAAATGAACACAGTGGAGGGTGCTTTGCTGATGGTAGTACAACCCTTGAATAGACAGACATCTGCCAGAATGGTGAAGGTGAACCACTGAACACCCTGCTAGGAGGATGGAGGTAAACCACTGGACACCTTGCCAGAAGGATGAAGGTAAACCACCGGACACCCTGCCAGAAGGATGGAGGTAAACCACTGAACACCCTGCCAGAAGGATGAAGGTAAACCACTGGCTACGAAATGCTGTCTGACCACTCTGCTGGCCTTCTTACCAAATCTTTCTCTCTGGGTTGTGAATTACTTTCCTCCAGCAGGCGATTATAAATGTGCACAAAATAGTGACTTATTTTTAACTCCCAGTACAATAATTCACCTTGAGAGTACTTTTATGGTGATCTACAGGTCACAAGTTATTAAAAATAAGACTTAAAATGGTATACAGTATGTTGCATTTGATACTGATGTCATATATGTAACATTTCATAATACAGTACAGGTATTAATATTCTTCAACAAGTTCATTAGATGTGGTTAACATTATGTGTGGTGGTGGTTCCGAGGTGACACAGTCTGGGGTCACCCTGTTACTCACCAAAGAGAATATATCCTGGGAATATTTAACATACAATGTTTGAATGCATGAAACAACACACATAATATACAGTTCACAGAGATAGATAAATATTGGTTTACAAATGTTACAGTACAGGTAAGTGTAAATTAAAAGCTACATTAAACTTATTTTACTGGATATTTTGGGTCTTGGTGTTGTTTTCTTCAGTGCCACACTTAAGACAGTGCTCGAATTTCATTTTCCTGTGAAGGACGATTAAGTACTTGGGTCGTGGGTTTACTGTCAGTGCTGTTGAAAGCCACTCTCCTGTATTGGAAGAATATTAAGAATCACTATAAAAAACATGAAAAACTTACTAGCAATTACATGAGATATATGCAGTACAGTATTTATTCTGCTCCAAAAATTATAAAAGAAAGTCACTATTATAGAGACAAGATTTATCACGAAAGAATGACTCATGAAATGAAGGTGACATAGTGTACTGTACATCTAAATTAATCTTAAGTCAAAGTTGTTAAATATAGTGCAGTTTTAGTGTTAATTTTATGGTTGAACTCATAAGTGCAGGAGAATTCAAATGGTTTCCTCGGCAATTCTTTCATGATCTTTTTGTGAATTGATAAATTTTAGCATAAATGAGGAAGACATCCAAAACATAATGTACTGTACATTATCATTTATTAGTACAGTGCTATATAATAAAACACTAACATCAGTTAAAGCAGGTTTTCAATGTTCTAATAGCTTCAAGGAAAGGAAGAAAGTTGCTAAATAACCTACACTGAAAGGGTTCACAAGAGTTGAGCATGTTTAAGAAAAATAAGGGATTTCATTATAACACTGATGTACAATTAGAAAGAACAGTCAGCCCTTCACCTGATGGTAGTATGGTTAGGATATGTTGGATTAAGTTAGGACAGGTTATCTTAGGGTAGTTTAGATTAATATAAGGGTGTTTTAATCATCAGGTAAAATAAGCTGGGGTGCCTAATCTTCAGGTGATCTGACTAGTATGATTGGTAATATAACACCAGATGAAGGCAGATGCTCTCACCTGATCCCATCAGCTACAGCACTGTCAATCTTGTCCAAGTTGAACATGAAAGAGGAGAATATGCGGCTCACAGTCACTGCAATGCGCTCCTCTGTGAGAAAATTTTGTTTTACTTCAAAAAGTAGATAGATATTTATGCAGTAAAATCATCATACAAGTTTATAATTGGTTCAACCTGTATACAGACAATGCAGGTACAGTACTGTATACAGTATAGTTCAGCATGTGCCAGTATAATGCAGGTATACATTTTCGGTCTTGAGGTAAGCAATGGTGACCCATGGTCAAGCAAAATGATCTTAAGAAACTTCTTTTGAACGGACCCAATACAGCACAGCACTAAATAATAACAAGTCATCTCTTGATATTGAACACCAGGAAGTCAGACAAAATACTTATAAATCGTATAGTGAATCAGTGATATATTTTTATTAAAAAAAATGTCATCACTCACTGAAGATCAAATGAATATTCTCAGGCATGAATACATATAAGGGAGTGAAATAATAGGTAATGCATCGTATATTGCAACATTTATTTTCCAGTGTGAAGCAAATGTAAGATGGCATACTGGAAATGTCGGCAATTCGTTTAATCATTGCATAGTCTTATTTCAAAACTCATTTAACCCAAGTATACATTCTCCTAATGATAAAAATTCATAAACAGTTGTTCAGAAAGAGTAATTTACATAGGTAGATCAAACTTACGAAGGTCCTTGAAACTGGAAGCAGTTTGAGAAGAGTTGGCGACCTGGAAGACCCTGTCGACGGTGTTGGTGACAGTTCTTGTGGCTGTACCGTTGGTGACTTTGGTCTTCACCCCCTTCACTATAATCACTACCTACACACAACACCAACCATGTTCAGTACACATTAAATGATGACAATGTGAATCAGGTATATATAGCAGAGAATTACAGTGTAGTTTTAGTTAGCATTGACGAAAGAATAACTTTAAACAAATAGTTGATTATACAGGTGTATCGCAATTTCTATTTGTTGTAAGAGAAGGAGGTAAGTAGATAAAATTTCCATCACCAAAGATTTATCCAAAGTTGGTAAAAATTATTTAAAATCAGAATTATCTCCCACAAAATGAAATTCAAATCCTACTCACCTGCTCGCCGCCTTCAGCAATCGCTTGATTGACCTTTTCCGACACCTCGCGAATGGCATCTGGTAACTCTTTTACCGAATTCACTACGAAGTTGCCCAAGTCATCAATGACCCCTCCGATGGCTGTTGTGACGCGAGCTGCTGCCTCGTCCACAGCTGCCATTGTTTCAGACGTCAACACCCTGTAACACGTAATTTCATCCACAATGTTGGTCTTGTTGCTGCCACCATCATCTTAGAATTGACTTAACAACACATACACAAGGGTCAGGCTTTTCATGAGAGGTATTAGTAGATTCAGTCTTTACACTGAATATATCAATACCTGTACATCCAATCTTACCACAGGAGGCATTACAACAGTCTTAACCCTGGAGATAATAAGTGTTGGGACTTTCAACTATACGCACCCAGATCAGGTGATACGCAATTCACTTGACACCAACTATGTTACGCTTTACAAGGAAGCAATTTGCCAGGCCTTGTATTATCTATATAGTTATACCATCCACATATCCTTTTACAGGTAATATCATTCTAATATCCATTTATCATTTTAATTTTTTATTTTATTCTCATCATCCATGAATCATTTTAACTTCATACGGATATCATCCACATATCATTTTTATATAATTCTTAATTTGTAGGAAAATTAATGATTGCTGGTAGCTAAATGGGTTGTGATGACCGACCTTGTTTGTTTAATAATATCGAATCTATTCAGGTTGAAACAGTTAAAATCTTAAGTTTCAAGGCAAATGGATAACTAACTGCAAGATTGCCATAGTTAAAAGCTGGGATCACATGAAAATAGACACACCACCTTATTTCACTTGATTAAATACCCTAATGCAACCTGGGATGGGTTAGGGTTAGAATAGGGTGGCTACCGGTAAGTGTAAGGTGAAATAAGCTAGGGTGCCTAATCTTCACGTGATCAATAAGCTGAAACGCCTCAAACTTATTATTAACATATACGGATTGTAATGTGTAAAGGTGTTTGAGGACAGTACAGTATTTTTAATCTGCTAGAATGTGTTATGTTTGCTCCCTTCATGCCAGCTTTCCCTTAAATTCAACTTCCCTGACGTCAGCTGACAAGGATAAGCCAGCCAGTCTCCTATCTGTACCTCCTCTTGAAACCCAATAGCCAAGGTGCTGTTGTATCCAGGCGGGACACACACACACACACGAGGCTCAGCTGCAACATTAGGAAAGATCTTACATAAAAAACAAGATTGCTTTTTCTATTTTAGTTGGTTCTTTGGCTTGATGTATTTGCTTTATATACGCTCTCAATAAAGTCAATATACATAAATAGCATAAATTTCCTCCTTGAATTAGTATATAAAATGTTTTTTATTGTATTAGTCTACAAATTACGTGCTTAAACACCATAGTTGTTTAAGCATACATATATAAATTAATAAAAACATCCACTACGTGAGACTGGTTTATTATGACGCGCAGGCCAGTGTTGCCAGGTGTGGAAAAAATTTCTTATTTAGGGAAAGGGAAGAAAATGAAAATTGGTCAAAATTTAGGGGAAAATGGCAATGGAAAAGGGGCATTTTGAAAGAGGACCAAACTATTTCGACGACTAAGTTTGTCAGTCGGATCCCATACACCTCACCCTCTCCACCCACAAGGTACTGTATTATGTTCTTGCAATATTGTTAATAAGTTGCTAAACTAACCAAATTACTTTGTTCTGTGTGTCTTCCTTGGCACTATATTAATTTGGTTTACATTCCCCCACTCCTTTGGTCACCTCAGCTATTCCCACCTACAGGTTCTCCTCCTCCCTACTCTTCCCCGCCCTTTGATAGGCTGTTTTCAATAATTTAAGAAAAAAGTAGTGGCATTGAACATTCATCCCAATAGACACTCAGTAAATTATATATTTATTTTCAGCCACGCAGGTAATAGCATCATATTAACATGCAGATGCTGTCATATTGAATATGATTAGAAATGCAAATAACTACCACCATATTATCACAATTATATATAAATAGGGAAATTTTGTGACAAAAAGGAAATTTTGAGGGTGCATCAAGGCAATTTGGCCAAGGAGACCTGGCATCACTGCGCGCGCCACTTGTTGCTTATTAGCAAGTAAGGACAATTTGCCAAGGAGACCTGGCATCACTGCGCGCGCCAACTCGTTCTAAATAGCCAGTTAGGTTGGTCAATATCATCTCTGCCGAAGCATGTGAAGTCTCTGGATTGGAATCCGAACTGGACGCTTATTTTTCCCATAACACAGAAGCATCGTTCACACTTTGTAGAACATACTATGCTTTAAGAATCAGTGTGTTCGTAATCTTATAACTCGTATATACGTGTTGCAACTCAAATGAACCAGTTGGATGAGTTTTTACATCTCCAGCTTAAGGAATAGTTTAACATAAGGACTTTCAACAATCCACCTTTTGTCTTAACTTTAATGAGTTTATTAGATGCTTTCTATCATCATCAATTGTAGAACATTTTCACATAAAGACCTATAAGAATCCATCTTTTGTGTCGTAACTTATAAAAACGTATAAAACGCACTCACATTATTTGTGGGGGATGAATGTAAGGATCTTTAAGAATGGGGGGATGAATGTAAGGATCTTTAAGAATGGGGGGATGAATGTAAGGATCTTTAAGAATGGGGGGATGAATGTAAGGATCTTTAAGAATGGGGGGATGAATGTAAGGATCTTTAAGAATGGGGGGATGAATGTAAGGATCTTTAAGAATGCCAAGTCTTCCAGAGGTCACCTTGAAGCGAACAAAACCAGTCCCAAGAGAATTTCCGTACCTTCTTGACTGGCAGGATACACACGCTGATTGGCAGAGGCTTCGCTAATGTTCGCGTGCTGCTTGGAGGAATTAATGTGCGTGGGCATGAGGGGCACTGGTTAGCATATTTCAGGTGTGTGTGGTATGGAGCCTCTGATGAACAGAATTTTAGGTGTGCGTGTGCATGAGGCTCTAATAAGCACAATTATTGTGTGTATTTTGGGATATGACAGTCAGTGACAGACAGATACTTACGCATCAACAATGTCCTCCATAGGATGTGGTGTGGAGGAAGGAGTCCCCTTACGGTGCTCGGCGGGTAGTTGGCTGGACTCACGCCCCTCTTTGTTGCTGGGCGCCGCCACCACTACCATCACCACCGCCGCCGCAAGTGCCACGCGCATGAACATCTGCAACATGAGAAAAACAAATGCATTATACAGTAAGTCGTCCTCTGCAACACAAGAACAATATCATTACACCACTTATCGGGAGGTTGGTCTGTTCTGTGTTACTTTGTTATCACTATTGTCCAGTGTTAGTACAGGAGGAAGCTGGAGTAGGCTACCTGGCGGAAACCTACTATGTTTGGTAATGTCAACCTGGACAACTAACTCCTTTCCCGTATGTGGTTCGGGCCCGAGACTGAACCCAGGACACAGTATAGGATATATGTGTTACCTCCGTTCCACAGGTTATGCAACTGTTATGTTAGGTTAAGTGAATTTACATCTGATTAGATATAGTAAGGCGATGTTAGGTTGGGTTTGATTAGGTTAAATTTGGTCAGGTGAGAATTGATTTGATTTGTTGAGGTTAAGTTAGGTAAAACATTTATTATGTTAGGTTAGATATGATTAGCTCGTGAACTCTTGCTTCAAGGAGAGAGACTACTTACTGTCAATCGCAGTCTGGATAACGGGTTCTCTCGCCGCAGGTCAGACAGTTTTTCATTGTAACACACACACACCACAACGCCCGCTGGCTGTGTATACTGTACATGTCGCCGCTTCACCTTAGCGGGGGAATCCAACCACTGACTCTCTGCAGAACTCCTAACACTACATACACGTACAGTAGATACACCACGCATAGAATCATTATCTCTCTCTCTCTGGTAGTCATTCCAAGGCTCCTCCAGCGCCCCCTACAGCCACCACCCATAATCTTGTCTACCATTGTCAAAAAAACTAAAATTTTAAGTACGTAAGAGGAGCTTTAACTCTTCTCCGTCAGGGAATGAGTGAGTGAATTAATAACAAATCCATACCCGTAGGTACTGTACTAAGACAACGGAATATAGTCCTAGCTATTTAGTGATACGTGGAAAGTGTGGGTGAAGAAATCGAGGCCACAGTACAGTAAATGTTATACTTGACAAGTCTCACGCATGTCTTAACGATCTTGTTTTTCCCTCCATTATCACACTCACGCTTAATACAGGGAATTTCAACATTAATATAGGGAATCTAAAGCTAGAATACAGTATATGGAATCTTATGCTATATATTAAGTAAAATTGTCATACAAGTTTACAATTGGTTCAGCATGTATATAGACAATGCAGGTATACAGTTTAGCACACAGTTCCTTAGGAATAGTTTCAAAATCCTTTCATAACTCGATTATTAAAATTAACTCAATATATTCAATAAAATTCTCATGAAAATATTACGAGTCTCCATCACTTGACCGGCTGTGTCCATATGAAAAGAGGATTATGATTGGTGCTACAGCGGATGTGAACCAGTAAGAATAGGTCTTTCAAATAGATTTCCCGCGGTCATTGCTCTCGTCGCTCACCGTTGTCAACAAAGAATCGCTTTTGTCACTCCCTCATCTTCCTATTAGCCAGAGTCTTCTAGCGGACATACGATTACTTTCTGTAGAGCGCTAACACAAGCAGGATTTTTATCTTCAATATATTTTCGCTATAATAAAGGACGCCATCAAAGAGTGAAAATCCACAAGGAATTACGTGATACTCAACCTTCTGACGACGCGTACGAGAGACTTGGAATGACGCCATGTTCAGTCCATAAGCGGAACAGAAGGTATCGTTGCTTCATCTCTGGTTGAACAAGGAAGCAAACATGTTTAACATACACCTCTTGCAACCACAGTGTGAAATGCAGGACATATATTTACCATTGTTTCTATACCTGCACTGTTTAGACACATTGTTTGTATACCAGCACTGTCACGATACAATCTACATACCTGCGTGACACTGTACAGTATGTTGAACTGTATACCTGCGTTGTCTATATGTATAATTAAACGTATACCTGCATTATCTATACGCATGTTGTACTGTACTGTAAGGTCCCCTGCGAAGATACACAGTACATTATATATCCAAGTCATGGCTGAGAAAAAGGCTGACCTAAAACAGTGACCGGTAGCTCTCACACCCTCCAGGCACCAGGGAGGGTTGGCAGTGTGTGTGTGTAGTGCGACTTAGATTGGTGAAAGTTATACGCTGTCAGGTGAAAGGTGTGAAAGTCGACTAGCTAGATGAAGGTGAAGGGCGGAGATGGGTAGGTAATGTGGGTTTGTTCAGTGACCCTCTCTGGCTCTTGATGGGTAGATACATAGGTTGGAATATGTATTTAGTAAAATCGTCAGATGTTTACAATCAATTCATCATGTAGGAGTATATGGACAATGCAGGTGTACAGTTCAACATGTATATAGACAATGCAGGTATACAGTTCAACATGCATATACACAATGCAGGTATACAGTTCAACATGCATATACACAGTACAGGTTTACGAAGTACAGTACCTAGACAGTGCAGGTATACAATAAATGTACCTAGAGTGATGGTATACAAACAGTGGTAAACAGTAAGGCAATCTGATGAAGGATATCCATAAAACACTGAATAAAACACTGGTATAAACTTGTACCACTAGAGAGTAACACAAGGACCTGGTAATGACCTCTGCTGCGACACACTTCTCACCCAACACTGTCCTACATTTATACACACACAGATTAGCCCCTCTAGTTTATTTTACCTTTTAATTAATCACCCTAAACCTAACGCTAACTTAACCTTATCTAATGCTAACCTAACGTTAACTTACCTTATCGAATGCTAACCTAACCTTATCTAATGCTAACCTAACGCTAACTTAACCTTATCTAATGCTAACTTAACCTTATCTAATGCTAACCTAACGTTAACTTACCTTATCGAATGCTAACCTAACCTTATCTAATGCTAACCTAACGCTAACTTAACCTTATCTAATACTAACTTAACCTTATCTAATGCTAACCTAACGCTAACTTACCTTATCGAATGCTAACCTAACCTTATCTAATGCCAACCTAACGCTAACTTAACCTTATCTAATACTAACTTAACCTTATCTAATGCTAACCTAACGTTAACTTACCTTATCGAATGCTAACCTAACCTTATCTAATGCTAACCTAATGCTAACTTAACCTTATCTAATACTAACTTAACCTTATCTAATGCGAACCTAACCGCATCTAATGTTAACCTAACCCAATACCCCGACTGTCTGTTATACACAATGCGAGAGGAGAATATTGGAATCTGAGATGGTCAAGTATGAGTCATTTTATTGTTATATTTCTCTCTTAATGGGATTTATCAACGGGTTTGGGTAGAGAGAAAAAAAGGTCGCTCTATGTAGCAACTTTTCGCTGGCACAATACATGACGATATAAATAAGAGAAAGAATTGAGATTTGAGCTACAAGCTGCCAACACGTGTCCATCACCTCACTAGCCTGATTCATGAGGTGTTTACAAAGTCCCTTGATGTTTTTGTTTGCATTCCCTTTAACAAAATTATATCATTCACCGTGTACATTACAATATACAACTTACAGATAGAATTATGTAATACACGTCATAAATATCCTTCACTAGATTAAGTCTCAAGAAAAAAAATATGAAGAATACAGTTATGTGAAGGGCCTCTGTAAACAAGAAAACATCAAGGGATTTTAGAAACACTGGAAAATGGTGGCTGTGGTAAAACCGGCAACTCGTCCGCCCTCCTCTGCACCTCATTTGACCTGACTGTCCTCTAAGTCTGGGGTCTAGACACAGTGACCTAGACTGACCAGAATGTTCCCGAATACACAAGTCGAGTTTATATTTCTCCTGTGTTTTATTTTTACTTCGGGCGGATCCAGGAGGGGTGTCCTGTGGGTCCGGACCTCAGAATATCTCCTATTATCAAGTACACAAGGGTTGAAAATGGCCTCAAAATGCCCATGTTATTAACTAGATTAAAAAAAAATCTCGAGGGGTCTTAATGCCACCCAAAACCCCGAGCTTGGTGGTCTCGCTTTGCTCGCCATATTCCCTTCCCTAAAACTTCTTGGACCCCCCCCCCCTTCCCCTCCTTTATATTCCTGGATCCGCCCCCGAAGAACCTTGTGTGTTGACGACAGCGCGAGTGAAAATAACCAGAAATAATTGATGCCAGAGACGTATAATGACGTAGATCTTATAGGAACCATCTCGGTTATGGGGCAATGGAGACGTTGTTGATTGAATGATGCAACTGGTGTGTGTGTGTTGAGGGTTAAATTAAGCCAACAAGACAGTATGACGTCTTACCTTTCTCTCCTCAAGTCAGTCAGACGAACTCCGTGTGAACTCTTTACCGGCCACTAGCACACTGACGTCCTCCTGGGTCTGACTCCTACAGCCACCCCCACCCGTTCGAGCTCGACTCTCCCCAGACCTCCCTCCTCTCCCCTCTCCTCACCTACCTACCTCCTACCCTCTCTTGTTTCTCACCCCTTAACTTTCTTTTACGTCTGTTTCTTTCCTCAAATATTTCTTTAGTTTTCCTGGTGCCTTTAATGTCATTCTTAATTCTTTCTATTCAGTAGTTTGATAATTTATATAAACAATCAATATAATTTTTATATGCTAGGTGCTTCCTGATTTCTATAAATATGTATACCACTTGGTTCTTATACATAATATACAGGTGTACAGTTCAGCATGTATATAGACAATGCAGGTGTACAGTTCAGCATGTATATAGACAATGCAGGTGTACAGTTCAACATGTATATAGACAATGCAGGTGTACAGTTCAGCATGTATATAGACAATGCAGGTGTACAGTTCAGCATGTATATAGACAATGCACTACATAGGTATACATACTTTCAGTACTGGATCACCTGAAGAATAGCCACCCCAGCTTATTTCACCTAAAGATTAACCTAACTTAACCTCCCTCCCAAATAGTGTACTGTTAGTTAATGGTGGATATTCTTCAGGTGAAATAAACTGAAGTGGATATTCTACAGGTGAAATAAACTGAGGTGGATATTCTACAGGTGAAATAAACTGAGGTGGATATTCTACAGGTGAAATAAACTGGGGTGGATATTCTACAGGTGAAATAAACTGGGGTGGATATTCTACAGGTGAAATAAACTGGGTGGATATTCTTCAGGTGAAATAAACTGAGGTGGATATTCTAGAGGTGAAATAAACTGGGGTGGGTGAAATTCTACTGAGGTGAAATAAATGGATTCTGGAGGTGATTCTTAAACTGAGGGTGGAAATAAACTCTTGGATATTCTTGAAATAAACTGGGTGAAATAAACTGAGGGTGGATATTCTTCAGGTGATCCATAAACTGGATACCTGATATTCTACTGAGGTGATGAGGTGAAATAAACTGGGGTGGATATTCTTCAGGTGAAATAAACTGGGGTGGATATTCTTCAGGTGAAATAAACTGGGGTGGATATTCTTCAGGTGAAATAAACTGGGGTGGATATTCTTCAGGTGAAATAAACTGGGGTGGATATTCTTCAGGTGATCCACAATACCTGTTTACTTATGGAAGCAAATTTATACATATTAACAGCATCAAACTGGCCTACCTTACACTGGTACACACTGTCCTTGGTAGATAGATCAAAGGGAAAACAAGTTAAAGGTTTAACGGTAGGGGAAACAGAGCGAGGTTATCTGTGTGTGCTCATGCTGTCAATAAACTGGTCCCCTGCTGCATGTAGGCATAGGCAGTAGGTATTTATTAGTGGAGGAACACGCGTCTGATTGGTTACTTCGCATATGGCCTGGTTCCTTGTAGCCAATGACAGACAATAGGTGGAAGAATAAGCGTCTGATTGGTTACTTCGCACAGCCTGGTTCCTTGTAGCCAATGACAGACAATAGGTGGAAGAATAAGCGTCTGATTGGTTACTTCAGAGACTGGTTCCTTGTAGCCAATGACAGCCAACGAGTGGGAGAACAAGCGTCTGATTGGTTACTTCGCACATGGCGTGGTTCCTTGTAGCCAATGATATAGGCAACAAGTATTCATTAGTGGAAGGACACGCGTCTGATTGGTCGATTCACTAACCAATGAGAGACGAGCCATAGTCAAATTTGGTGGGATTGTCTGGTGGGAAATAGCTGGGCTTTTGTCTACTGGGAAATAGCTGGGATATTGTTTAGTAGAAAATAGCTGGGATTTTGTCTACTAGGAAATAGCTGGGATTTTGTCTAGTAGGAAATAACTGGGATTTTGTCTGGTGGGAAATAGCTGGGATTATGACTGGTGGGAAATAGCTGTGATTTTGTCTGGTGGGAAATAGCTGTGATTTTGTCTAGTAGGAAATAACTGGGATTTTGTCCAGTGGGAAAGAGCTGGGATATTGTCTATTAGGAAATAACTAGGATTTGTCTAGTAGAAAATAGCTGGGATTTCGTCTAGTAGGAAATAACTGGGATTTTGTCTATTAGGAAATAACTAGGATTTGTCTAGTAGAAAATAGCTGGGATTTTGTCTAGTGAGAATAACTAGGATTTTGTCTATTAGGAAATAACTAGGATTTGTCTGGTAGAAATAGCTGGGATTTTTGTCTAGTAGAAATAACTGGGTTGTCTATTAGAATAACAGGATTTGTCTAGTAGAAAATAGCTGGGATTTCGTCTAGTGAAATAACTGGGATTTTGTCTATTAGGAAATAACTAGGATTTGTCTAGTAGAAATAGCTGGGATTTTGTCTAGTAGGAATAACTAGGATTTTGTCTATTAGGGAAATAGCTGGGATTTTGTCTGGTCGGAAATAACTAGGATTTTGTCTATTAGGAAATAACTAGGATTTGTCTAGTAGAAAATAGCTGGGATTTCGTCTAGTGGAAATAACTGGGATTTTGTCTATTAGGAAATAACTAGGATTTGTCTAGTGAGAAAATAGCTGGGATTGTCTAGTAGGGAAATAACTGGGATTTTGTCTATTAGGAAATAACTAGGATTTGTCTAGTGAAATAGCTGGGATTTGTCTAGTGGGAAATAACTAGGATTTTGTCTATTAGAAATAACTAGGATTTGTCTAGTAGAAAATAGCTGGGATTTCGTCTAGTAGGAAATAACTGGGATTTTGTCTATTAGAAATAACTAGGATTTTGTCTATTAGAAATAGCTGGGATTTCGTCTAGTGAAATAACTGGGATTTTGTCTAATGGGAAATAACTAGGATTTGTCTAGTAGAAAATAGCTGGGATTTTGTCTAGTAGGAAATAGCTGGGATTGATTTGATTGCTAGTAGGAATAACTGGATTTTGTCTATTAGAAATAACTAGGATTTTGTCTAGTAGGAAATAACTAGGATTTTGTCTATTAGGAAATAGCTGGGATTTTGTCTAGTAGGAAATAACTAGGATTTTTTCCTCTGGGTTTTTGCGTTGCCACTTCCTCCATCTTGCGTCACACACCCCTGGCAAGGTGACCCCAGCAGCGAGCCGAGTGTTGCTGAACCGTGTAAGGAGTTTGTACAGTCACTCTATGCCTGTGTTTCGCCTCTTGATGTTTGTGTTGACAGAGTCCCTCCATGTTTGTGTTTGCTGAGATGGCAGTTGTGTTTACAGATTCCATTAGTGTTTGTGCGAATTTGTAAACACAAACATCAAGGGACTCTGTAAACACAAACATCAGAGACTCTGTAAGCCTAAACATCAAGGGCTCTATAACAACATCAAGGACTTTTAAACACCAACATCAAGGACTGTAAACACAAGCATCAAGGGACTCTGTAAACACAAACATCAAGGGACTCTAAACACAAACATCGAGGGACCTGTAAACACAAGCATCAAGGGACTCTGTAAACACAAACATCAAGGGACTCTGTAAAACACCAACATCAAGGACTCTGTAAACACCAACATCAAGGACTCTGTAAACACCAACATCAAGGACCTGTAAACACAAACATCGGGACTCTGTAAACACCAACATCAAGGGACCCTGTAAACACCAACATCAAGGACTCTAAACACAAACATCAAGGACCTCTAAACACCAACATCAAGGGACTCTGTAAACACAAACATCAAGAGACTTGTAAACACCAACATCAAGGACTCTGTAAACAAACATCAAGAGACTCTGTAAATACAACATCAAGGGACTCTGTAAACACAAACATCAAGGACTCTAAACACCAACATCAAGGACTCGTAAACACCAACATCAAGGACTCTGTAAACACAAACATCAAGAGACTGAAATACAAACATCAAGGGACTCTGTAAACACCAACATCAAGGGACTCTGTAAACACAAACATCAAGGGACTCTGTAAGCACAAACATCAAGGACTCTTGTAAACACAAACATCAAGGACTCTGTAAACACAAACATCAAGGACTCTGTAAACACAAACATCAAGGGACTCTGTAAACACAAACATCAAGGGACTCTGTAAACACCAACATCAAGGGACTCTGTAAACACAAACATCAAGAGACTCTGTAAACACCAACATCAAGGGACTTGTAAACACAAAACATCAAGGGACTCTGTAAACACAAGCATCAAGGGACTCTGTAAACACAAACATCAAGGGACTCTGTAAACACAAACATCAAGGGACTCTGTAAACACAACATAGGGACTCTGTAAACACAAACATCAAGGGACTCTGTAAACACAAGCATCAAGGACTCTGTAAAACACAAACATCAAGGGACTCTGTAAACACAAACATCAAGGGACTCTGTAAACACCAACATCAAGGGACTCTAAACACAAACATCAAGGGACTCTGTAAACACAAACATCAAGGGACTTTATAAACACCATCAAGGACTTTATAAACACCATCAAGACTTTATAAACACCATCAAGGGACTTTATAAACACCATCAAGGGACTTTATAAACACCATCAAGGGACTTTATAAACACCATCAAGGGACTTTATAAACATCATGAAGGGACTTTATAAACATCATGAAGGGACTTTGTAAACACCGTGTAGTGTACCCAGCCTCCCACAGGAAATAAGCCATCGCCATAATTAGGTATACGTCTTCCTGTAACTAACAACTGCAGTCATTGTTTCTGTGATTAAATTTCCTTTAGTATATATTGCAGCCTTTTGTTTGTTCTGTGATGTGGTATAATAATATGGGGTGAGTGGTTATTATTATTATTATTATTATTATTATTATTTGTTATTATTATTTGTTATTATTATTGTTATTTGTGTTATTATTATTATTATAATTATTATTATTATTAATATTATTATTATTATTATTATTTTTATTATTAGTAGTAGTAGTAGTAGTTAGTAGATGTAGTATTAGTAGTAGTAGTAGTATAGGTAGTTGGTAGTAGTCGTAGTAGTAATAAACAAGAATTTACAGGTGCCATTGCTCTAAGGTACGGTAGGCCAGTAGA